AAGGAATTTATCTTTAATATTATTATAAAATACTTAAATTAAAACTTAAAAGATAAAGATATTAATAAATATAATAAATAAAATAAACTTAATAAAAGAATATTTTATTAAGAAATAAATATTATAAGATTATAATAAAGGAAACCTTTTAAATTTATATTTAATGCCTTGCTTATTAATATTATATTAAATGCTTAATAATTTAAATTTAAGTTTAATTAAAGCTTAAATAAGGTTATACTTTAAGTTTAAGCCTTTTATATAATTTAATTAATATAAAAATATATAATATAATGCTATTTATTAAACTTATAAATAAGCAAGATAAGTACCTTAATTTTGCATTATAACCCCCTTTACTTTAAACTTAAGGTTGCAATAATAATAATAAATATTAATTAAGAATTTAAAGCATCTTTAATTAATATTAAGTAATATTTATAAAGTTTAAATTTATTATTTTAATTTTAAATTTATATTATTATTATATTTAAGCATAATATAGTTTTTAATAAGAAACTTAAAATAAGTTTAAAGCTTAATAATATATAAATATAAAATTAAGGTAGTATTTTATTTAAACCTTAAAAGTATAAAAAGTATTTTAAAATTAAAAAATAATCCTAAGATACTTATAATATTATTATAAGTTTAATTATATTTAATTCTTTTTTATAATAAGATAAAAATAAATATAAGCTTTAATTAAAGCTTTAAGGTAAAATATAAAATAGTTTAGTAATATTTAATATAAAAATAAAAAAAGAAATAAAATTAATAAATAATTAGCTTATAATTAACTTTTTATTTTTTTTATTATTAATTAAAGATATATAAGATTAAAATTATATTTAAGCTAAATTATTAATAAAAACAAGCTACCTAAATAAATAAGAAATAAGTTTTGCTAAACCCTCTTAAGAATAACTTAAGGAGGAGCTTTAATATAATAAAGAAGAAAGATAAGAATAAAAGGGAGCTAAAAAAGGGAAAAAGATAAATATTTTAAAAATTCTTAAAAATAAGAAAAGCTTAATTAAAGCACTAAATATATAAGAAAAGAGAAGAGTTGATTTCTTAAAAGAATATTTAAAATGAGTACAAAAGCTAGCTTTTATAGCTAGCTAGAATGCAGCGCGGTACCAATTCTTACATATTTCCCTGCACCCGCCAACAATATATAAATAAGGAGCTTATAAGCTAAGTTAGCATTAATTAATGCAAAGCTATGCCCTTACTTTATATTAATTAATGCTAACTTAACTTATTTAACTTATTAATAACTTAAGCCGCTATGAAATTAATATTATATTAAGCTGCTATTAATATTATTATATTAATTAATATATAAATTAATATACTTTGCATTACTTTTAATATTTAACTTATATTATTTTAAAAATTTTAAGGCCTTAATAAAGTTAATAATTATAGGAAATTAACTTAATATAAGTATAAGTAAAGCATAATATTACTTAAAATCCTTATAATATTATTTATTTACTTAGCTATTTATAAGTAAGGTGCTCGTATTAATTATTTATTATAATATTTTATTTTTTTATTTTTTTATAATTATTTATTATAATATTTTATTTTTTTATTTTTTTATAATTATATATTATTAAATATTATTATAGCTTAAAAGTATTATCTTAAACTTTTTAAGAATATTTTTATTTTAAATAAAAGTAATTCTTAGTTATATAAGCAAACCTTTTATATAAATTTCTTTAATAAAAGCTATAATAATTTAATAATTAATAAAAAAAAGGTAATTTATAATATTTATAATATTTTTATAGCAAGCTATTTTAAAATTAATATTAAATTCTTAGCTAAGAATATTATATATATTAATATAAGTAAGAAAGCTTATATATTTATATAAATTTATAAAAACTTAATTTATATTAACTTACTTATCCTTAGTTTTATTCTTAATAAAATTCTTTTTTAAGTATAACTTTATTTTAACTTTTATATATTGCTTTTATAAAGTATATATTTATATTATTATAATTATAATTACCTTTTAAGCCTTATTAATAAAAATAACTTTTATTATATTATTTATATTATTAATAAAATATTTATTATAATCCTAAGCCTTAATATAAATAAACTTATAAATAATTATCTTTTTATTAAATAAGATTTTTAATAAGAGTAAATTACTTATTTTTTATTTTTATTTTAATAAATATAAATTATTATATAGCATAATTATTATAGCAAATAATTTTATAAAATAAGTTATTATATAAAAACTTATATAAGTACTTTTTATTAAGTTTATATTGCTTATATTACTTAGTTTTAATAACGTTTAATTTAATATTAATGAAGCAATATATAAGGTATTGTAAAATTATAAAGTTAATAATTATATTAATATTAATGCTTTTTAATTAAAATATTATGCTTAAGTTATTATTTTAAATAATTAAGGTAAGCTATAAAGGGTTATTAATAATAAGTTAAAAGATAATATATTATTATAATTAATTAAAACTCTTTATAAGCTTATTAAATTATTTATTAATATTAAGCTAAATAAATAAGTAATTTTAAAAGTATAATTTTTTAATTTAAATAATAATATTAAAAAAAATAAATATTATAATATTATTAATTTATATAATAAATATTAAGGAAGGTTAATATAAAGTTAATATTAATTAATATAAAAATATAAATATAATAACTTATATAAATTTTTAAAGAAAAAGAAAAAGGTTAAAATAAAAGTTAGCATTAATTAATGCAAATTATTATAATAAAAGTTATATTAATTAATATTAATTATTTAATATAAGGTTAAATAAATAATAATAAATATTAATAAGAAAAACTTAAAATTATTTTATTTAATAGTTTTAAATTTATATTAATTAATATTAATTTAAAAATTAAATTAATTAAGCATTATTCTTATTTTATTTTATTTATTATTATTTAATATTTATAAATATACTTTATAATTTTAAAGCTAAAAATTTTATTAAGTTTTATAATATTTACTTTAATAATTATTAAAAAGTAAAAGAGCATAATTTAATAATATTATTTTTTAATTTATCCTTAGTTTTACGTAATATTTATATTTAAGGGTATTTAAAGCTTAAGTTTAATAAATTTTATAATATTATTCTTAAAATCTTATTAAATTAAGTAAATTACTTTATTATTTTTATTTTTAATTTTATAAATAAGTAAAAAGTTATAATTTAAGGGTAAGTTATACTTTATTAATTAAATCTTTTTTTTAATAAAATTAATCCTTATTTCTTTAATAAAAACCTTAAGGTATTTAAATAAGCTTAATAAAATTATAATAATAAAGAGGTTATTATTATTATAAAATGCTTTAAATTATAAAATGTTATTATTTTTAGTTAATTTATTATTTAAAACGTTAATTAATTAAGCTAATTTTTTAAATTTTAATACCTTAATTAATTTTTTAAGAGCTTTTAAGGGGGGCATAAACTTAAATTTATTAGCCTTAGGGGGTGGCTAAGTAGCCAACTTATCCTTTCCTTAGGGCTGTTTATTAGGCAAACTAAGAACTGCAATGCTACTTTAGCCATGGCTTATGCTGCTATTACGGCTTATATTGCCACTACAGCTTATGCTATTATTATAGCTGCTAATCTTAGTATTTACATGGCCTTAGTTTAAAGGCATTAATAATTTTATATTAAAATCCTTGGCTAGCTTATTAAATATAATATTCTTTAAATAATAGCTTAAATATAATATTATCTTTTAATTTTTAAGCTTTATAGCTATAATCTTTATTTTTTTAAAGCTTATATTATTATTTTATATTTTCTTAATCTTTAAGTAGTTAGCATTAATTAATATAATTTAGTTTATATATTTATAAAATTAAAATAAAGGGTAAGAAATATAAAAAAGAGGAAAAAATTAAAAGAAAGGTAAGAGGTTAAGGGTTTAAATATTCTTAAGAAAAGAATTTTACTACCTTATAAATAAATCTTTATTACCCTTTTTTAATTAAGAAAAATATTATATAATTTAATTTATTAATATTTACTTATTAATATTAAGTAAGGTTTTTATTTATTTAATAATTATTAATAATATTAATAATAAAGTTTATTTATTTTTATACTTTATATAAATTAAATAATTTATTATTTTAATAATATTTTTATTAATAATTTTAAGTAATTTAATTTAATAATTAATTTTAATAAATATAAAGAAATAACTTAAAAAAGTATTAATTAATATATAATAAATATATATTTAAAGTAAAATATTTAAAATATTTACTTTATATAAATAATGGAATAGCTATAGTTTTAAAAAGCTAGCTTTTAAGGTATATTTATATTTTAAAGTGCATGTAGTTAATTTCCTTATATTGGGTAGGCCAACGCTAAAAGCTGGGTGGGCGTACTATAGAAGCTGGGTGGGCATACGCTAACTCGCGATGATCTACCCGAGTCAGGGCCTCAACCCCTCGGTCAGTCTTCGTATTGGACCCCAAGAATATCCACGCAATGGCATCGAATGCCCGTGGGGTCCAAAATGCAGTGTTACGTCTTGCGCGGCTAGTGGCCCAAGGACTTATGTACACGCCATGGGCGTATTTGCCGTAACCAACGTAGCACTCACCCACCAACTGTGCAACAACACGGTTCAGGCAAGGATGGGTCGTTTACAAATGTGACCCAGGAGACAACACGGGGCTGTGAGCAACAGTTTGAAATGCTGCCTGCAGACACTTAGTTTAATGCTTCCCACGCTCACTGCCAACAGGCTATATTTGCTTTCCGATTGGCAGTGGGCGCGGGAAGGTGACGAATGTGGATGAGCGGAGCCTCACTTCAGGTAACCCAAGCATTAAATTCGCAACAGGCAACGCCCACTCTACTTTTCCGCGCCCTTTCCCAAGAATACATTGTTTCTTGAGCTTATAGGACACTCACTGTTGTTCCGTCTCAGTAGAAGAATTCAAAAAGATAATGTCAGCAGAGACAGGTTTTGTGTCCAAAATTCCAGAAACACAATCCGCCATCACGCAAGACGAGCACGGCCAGCCACGGCTCGTCAATGGCGTGGCCATCCCTGCACTTCTGCCAGGCACCGTCCTGATCAAGACGGCGGCCGTGGCTCTCAATCCCAGCGACCACAAGATGGGCGCCAGCTTCCCGACCCCCGGCTCTGTTATCGGCATGGACTTCGCCGGCACCGTCGTCCGCGTAGCAGACGAAGGGACACAGACAGGCATCGCACCCGGCAGTGTTGTGTGTGGAGCCGTTCAGGGGTCCAACCCGGCCGCACCAGACAACGGTGCCTTTGCCGAGTACTTGAGAGCACCGGCCGACTTGCTAATGCGCGTGCCGTCGTCGCCGTCACTGCAGGCCCGGCCTGATGGCAGAGACAGCAATGCTATGATCCAAGCCGCCGCGACAATGGGCACAGCACTGGCAACGTGCATCCTTGCTCTCTGGGGCAGCGACACCCTAGATCTCCTCCCTTCCACGCCAGACACGCCCTCACAGGCGACGCCCCCCACCCCGGTGCTCGTGTACGGCGGAAGCACGGCGACGGGCTCCATGGCGATCCAGCTGCTCCGCCTGTCCGGGTTCAGCCCCATCGCGACCTGTTCCCCACACAACTTCGAGCTGGTGCGCGCCCGGGGCGCGAGCGCGGTCTTTGACTACGCCGCCGAGGGCGTCGCGTCGGCCATCCGCGAGCACACGGGCTGCCGCCTCAGGTATGCGCTCGATTGCATCGCGGACGCCGAGAGCGTGGCCTGCTGCTACACTGCCATACAACGGGCGGGCGGGCGTTACACGTCGCTCGAGCTGGTCGGCGACGAGCTCCTGAGCCGTCGACGGGCAGTGCGGCCGTCTTTCATCATGGCGCCCGAGGTGTTCGGGGAGGAGCTGAAGTTGCCAGGAGGTTATGGGAAGCCCGCGAGCCTGGAAAAACGCCAGCTGGCGGTGCGGTTCTTTGCCATCTTTCAACGGTTGCTGGACGAAGGGAAGCTAAAATTCCACCCCATAGAGCTGCTAGAAGGCGGGTTTGAAAGTGTAGTGGATGGTCTGTCACTATTAAAGAGTGGTGCCTTGTCTGGTAAGAAGTTAGTAGCTGTCGTGTAATCTTGTGTGTACTCTCGAAGCCGTTCCCCTCGCCCCTGCCCTTTGCACATGTGAACAATCTGGATGCATTCTTGCCCCTCGAGTTTCAATTCCCCGGTTCTTCACTGGTCACCTCTCTCTATACGAAACCCAAAGTCTTTCAAAGAGTGACCAGGAGACGACGCAGCCCATCTCAAGCGTGTATAATTTCGCCGTCAACTTGTATGCTCACAGCCGACTGGGAATATCTCCGTCCGAATGAGCTCCTCCAAATTCTTGGCCGCTCTCTGCATTTTTCAGAGCCCGATGGACGATCTTCGCGATGGCCAAAACCTTTTCTTCCTCGAACTTTCTAGCCACCACCTGAAGACCCACTGGTGCGCCATCGTATATTTCTGGGTCATCTGGGATTTGTTAGCAGAAATTCTCCATGTCCCTGTCTCAAATGGTTCCCTCGTCCAGAGATCAAAGGCGGGACTTACAGGTCTCCCAGTTGCTCTTATCGAGCTTGCCACGGGGCTTATAGTCTCGATCAATGGGGTCAAGGCGTTTGTCAGCCTTCGTGACAGGAATCACCGCAACACTGTAGTTTAGTAGGTTCAAAGCTTGGGTGTAGGCTGCCGCGGATTTAGTCTGGGGAATGCTGAGAGTTTGAATAGATTCTGAACAAACCGAGATGGTTGAATGTCCCAGGAATCACCGCTGCGTGGGGAGCAGCCGGTACAATGAAAGCATCAACGATTTGACCTACAATAGATCTTAGCCGTTGTGGCTTAAGGTGCTCACAAGACGTAGGACCCACCATCTTTGTCACCCGTCGAGTTCCAGTAATCCGAGTATTTTGCTTCAAACTCCAGTCCTTTCAATGTGAAGTCCTGAAAATCTAGCAGGCCCATGGGTGGTCGGAGGCGCATGCCACGACTGGCAAGCTCGGGAATCATTGGCTCCCCGGACCGCTCGAGATGTTTGTAGACGTCTGCCGTTCCATCGGCCATGATAATCGAGAGCTTTTGCGACTCATAATTAGCGTCTAGTCTTGCCGGACAAGTGCTAGGAAGGCCTCCTGCATGTGGATGGGCTCAAGAGCGAGTGTTGTCTTACATGGATGTTTTTGGCGGTCACATGTGACGGTGGGTCCCAGTTCACAACCTGAAATAATTAGTCAGGTGGTTCTGTCAAGGGGCTTGGTCCATACCTTATGGCCGGCTTTCTCTAGAGCATCGGAGACCATGCGTAGGCCTCGAGATATGGGAGGGTGAGGTTGAACGAGACCATCTGTCCACATAATACCAAGCTTCAGCGGAGGGCGCCCACTGCTCGCGGTCCCATCAGATTGAGCGCGTGAGAGATATTCATCGAAGACTTCCTGGCGGAAGGGCATCGGAACTACAACCGGATCTCGGATCCAAGGCTGCGTTGATAGAACGGACTTGAGCACAAGCTCAATGCCGTCGAGCGACGTGCTCAAGAAGCCTGTGGTCGCCCTGTACGTGGTCTGGCCGGGGTTTGTATCGGCCATGTCTCGCGAGGAGAGCCTCCCAGGCGTCGGTTTGATTCCGAATACGCCGTTGAACGCAGCTGGTATCCTAATTGATCCGCCAATGTCAGCGCCCACGCCGATTGTGCTGCCTCGAAGTGCTATCAGCGCCCCCTCGCCCCCGGAGGAGCCTCCACATGAGAGGTTTTGATTGTTTGGGTTGAGAGTCTGGCCGATGATGTGATTGATGGTCTCAACGTAGAACAGCGTCTGGGGAGAACTGGTCTTGCAGTAGAGGACAGCCCCCAGGGACAGCAGCTCTCTGGTGATTTGGCTCTCGATTTTGTGAGGCTGACTTAGGTCTTTGATGCCCATGTTGCTTCCTATCCAGCCTACATAGCCGGTGGTGGTATCGATGCCTTTGACGTGGAACTGATCCTTCAAGCTGACTGGTAGCCCATGAAGCGGCCCCATTGTGGTACCATGCTTCCTGTAATGCTCGTCGAGCTCCTTGGCGCGTTCCAGCGCTTGATCGAAAAAGATCTCATGAAGGCAATTGTTCTATAGATGGATCGGGGTCAGATTGATGCTGCATTGGTGTACAGGCTTGGTTAAAAATAACGACGGTCGTCCTGTTCACTCACGATCTGATGTGCAACGGCAGCAGCCTTGCAAAACGCCGTCGTCACCTGGACGCTTGTAAGCTGCCCTTGTTTGATTGCGTCGACGATGGGTACGCTGTCCATGGACAAGATGGATATCTCCTGTTGACTGAGAAATCCTTGGATAAATGGTCCTGTCAGGTCCCTCTGCTCCGAAGCTCGTTTCACATCCTGAGCACTCAGTCTCCATTGGGGGTAGATTTTGTTGAGAGTGTCGGCGCGTTTGGCCGCAGCTCTAGCTTCCCACGGCTGCGTCTCCATTCTGACGATGTGATCAGTTGGGTGGATGCTCGGTAGACGATTGCGATCTGACCTGGGTGTGAGTGGAAGGTGGGGGAAGAGGTGAGGATAGTTTGGGCTCAGGACCTCTGTTCGGCTGTTGGTTCCATTGGTATTACATTGAGCCCCTCGCTGAGCCACCCACGTGCAGCTACGGGAGCTATGTGTAATGATCCATGCAGACACCTGCTTACGAAGGGTACCAGGTATCCCGGTCCCCAGAGTCATACAAGATGGCGAAGCGATCACACTGGATCAAAACCAAACGAATGTTAGCAGCCTCTGGAAGGGGGAGGAAGAAGTCCATTTAGTTCCTTGACCCTCACGAGAACACAGACTTGCACCCAGAAACACAGAGGGTCTACTCTGGATCATTAGTTAAACTACAATAATTAATTATAGCTCAAGATTTAATATTAGTATATCATAATATGATTGATTTACTGATGTCTTGCAGGTTCTTTCTATTCTTTCTTTTGTTTTTCTTTACTATTAATATGATATTAATTGTTTTCCTGATAAATGTGTAGATTAAGAGCCATGTGATGCTTCTACCTTAGTGCACTACAAGTACAGCCCACGGAGTGTGGCTGTCACAACGGGGTACCGCCTTATCTGCACATGCATCGGTAGACCATTAGCTGCCAGTGGGGAGGTTGGCCAGTTGGTTCTAGCTGCCTTGCAGTTGGCCACCCGCTGGCCACCCCTTCGGGCTCAACTGGAAGCTCAACAACCCCATTGAAGACGCTACCTTTTGTACCACACCGTGACACGTCGACATTGCTTTAGAAACTTGGCTACCTAGAACACCACCTTCTTTATTCTTTCAAATTAACTCCTTCGTGGTTGTCTGATCAGAATCCGATGTTGACCCTACGCTTTTGTGTTTTCTTCACTTCCTCCCAGTTCTGGCTTACTTCCTCGCGTTGGAGTGCGATCCATGAGAAGGTCTGGCCTCTTCGCGGGGGAAGATTCACTTTCAAACAATTATTAATTGCTAGCATATACATACTGCCGCCACCATCGTGGTGAAACGGAGCTACTTGGACTTGTCGGTGTATTTTTTAGCCCTTATAAACTCTTCTATACATTGTGAGGTGGGCTTGGGCTTGTTGGGATTACAGCCAACAAAGAACATATTAGGAAAGTGGTCTCGTTTTTAATCTGTACACATATGCTTCGTAAGCAAATAATAGGAAAACTTACTTCCTAAACCTGATCTTTAAGATCTCGTGCTGGCCTACTATCCCGGACTTTGCCGCACTTCCAAAAGCGGGCGATAGCTTTTGCGTAACTCGTGTGCGTTAACAACGCCCACACCCAGGATTGAAATATTCGTGCGTAAAGAGGGACGTGCGAATTCCAACAGCTTGCATTCGCTCAGGCTGGGGATGTAGCAAATAGCCCTTGAGGGACCTAGCCATGCATTTGAGCAAAACCACTTAGAAGCCACCGTTCGTGAGTGGCGGGACCTTGGTGGAAGGCCGGAAGCCAGACTCGATGGAATGCGACAGAGGATCGCCGAGGAGCGGGCAGATGCCCAGAGTCTAAGTGATAAAATCTATTCCATTACAATTGTTTTGAGGATGTGTTGAGCTCGGCGATTATAAATAGATGTTCAACGCCACCTCTATTAATGAGGCACGCCAGAGCACGGATTTGAACAGCTGTTTTCACCGTCGTGGCGTTGGTGTATACGGGATTTGTGAAGGCGAACTTCTTAGCCACATGGTTGTACGTACTTAGACATGGCAAATCACCTACACGTTCTACAGTTGCCGCCTTTTGTATTGCGTCCGTCTTGGATTATCCAATCAAGACAGGCTTATTCGGTGCTGGTGTCCCATGAACAACCGGGAGCTGGAACAGATATGTTGGGCTGGACAAGATGCGAATGTTTGCTGATATAGCTTTGTTGAGAAAGAAAAGAAGGCATCAAACTCATCGCTGTGCTCGCTTGCTGTATGCTGCCTTCCAAATGCCGAGTCCCTCCGATTCGAGTATAGAAGTAGGTCCTCGGAACCTTTCATCTGCCGTCCCGCACATCAAACCCGCCTTCTCACTTCTGGTCCGCCTTCTTCTCCCCCGACTTCGCCTTCTCCTCCTCCTCGAGCTTCTTCGCAGCCTCCACGATAGCCTTGTGCGCCTCCTCGTCTCGCTCCGAGTCATCCGTCTCATCGCCGTCCTTCTCGTCCGACTTCGATTTCTTGATATCCTTTCCGAGCCTGTCATGACCAGCATCCGCATCAGCTTTCGTCCCACCACCACCGTTTCCGGCAACCGCGTCGGCGAATCTGTACCATGGCCCGTGGATCGCGCCGACTCCGGCGCCGATCAGGCTGCCCGGCACAGCAACGACGCCGCTGAGCAGCGCCCCGACGAGGTTGCCCAGCCCCATGCCCACCGCACTTGAGATACCGATTCCGAATCCTGTACCTTGGCCCCATCCAGACGCCATCACTGGAGGCGGTGGTTTGCATGTCAGCGCCTTTCTTGCGACCGGAATCTAGGTCATGATGTGATGAAAGCAGCTCTCTGATGTGACTCACACCTCGCCTTCTTGCTCTCTCCGTGTGCCTCCTTCTCCTTGGCGTACGCAGCCTGCCACAACCTCTCCCGCTCGGCAGGGTCCCTGACAAGCGCAGCCTGCTTCTTGAGGGCGTCCGCGGCATCTTGAAAGCGCGCCGCGGCTTTTGCTGCCTCTGCCGCCTGGGTGATCTCGGCCATGGGCAGCACTCCACCTCCTCCACCACCTCCTCCGGATGCGGCCCCACTCGCGGGAGGAGCAGCAGGAGCTTCTTGTGCCTGCGGCTTTTCGGACATTTTCCTGGTTTCTTTCTTTGTCAAATTGCAGATATGATCAATAAAGTCAGCGATATAGGACGATAGACATGGAATATCGCTGCGAGAGGTGCTGTTGAGGTCAACAAAAGGAGGTGGCTTCAGTCGTGTGTGGCTGGTGGGGGCATGACGGAGGTGGCGAATGCTCTCTGGGCCAAATCTTGGAAAGCAAGCTTTTTTGGTGCACTTCGGCAAGAGTCACTTTAGCTCATGGTGCAGTCACAAGGTCGCCTGAGCTAATAAGTAGAAGCAAAGCAAAAGGGTTAGGGCAAATGATCAACATGCTGCAGCTGAACGGCTGGCTTCTTCGCAATGAGCACTTTGGCGCCTGGCATTCGGGCAGCAATCGAGAGCTTGCTTGTGGTTGGTGGAGGCGCCTGTCAGGAGTCGTCCTTAGTACTGATAAACAAGCTGCTCAACAATCAAGACGACATGGTTGTGTGTAGTCCCGTGAACCATAATAGATAACTAGCCCGAATTCCCTGTAGACTTCTGCAGAGCTGCAAGTAAGTTATTAGGCAAGGCCAGGAAAAAGTTCCCAAGGCACTTACTACCACTACAGCCAACACTCAACCTCGAAGCTGCTAAGAGAAGAAGAAATCAGTAAGTAAACTCAATACCCATGCGATAAGATATCCTTACCTAACTTCAATAGAAGCCAAAATGAAGAAACGCTTCACTTCAAAACGCCCAGATATCTTCCGCGAAGATGTTGCAAAACTCTCAGAGAAAAGCAAAAACGACATTTGTGACAAAATAGGTAAAAACATAGAGTGTAATAATATTACACTCTGTTGGATTTACCATTTTGTTATTGGCGATGAAATCACCCTTGGAAGGATTGAAAGGGAAGTGGAAAACAAGGGCAGAAAGAAGTGCTATAATGTTCTATCATATGTTAGTACTTGTCAAGGTAGGTATCTAGGGTGGTGGAAATAACTCACCCTCCGGAAGAGGGGAATGAGGACATGTACCAAGCCGTACGCGACTTTGTGCACGAGCTCAGGGCTGCTGCTGTCATTAGTAAAACAGCAACCTGGGGTGATCTTGTCTTGAGTCTCGTCTAGTCAGGAGCATAGACTCACAGGGACAGTCGGAAAGCTGAGCAGACAGCAGACAGACCACTACCCGGGGAGAAACGTTAGCATGGACCAGTATAAGAGGGAGCGCAGCAGGCTGTCCTTTGGACACTGGCTCACTTACATGGACAGTTGATTTAAAAACACAGTGTGGCCGAAGCCTGAGGGGGAAAACTGCTGGCTTTATTCAACATGATACCTGGATACTATGTGACCTCGTCTGACTTTTCGCCGTTTGCAATGATATGCAGTTATCCTTCGACAGCCTCCCGCCGCCTCTTCATTTTCCATATCTTCCGGGTCTTGTCCGCCCTCCTCTGGGCCTTGCTCTTCTTGCATTTGCGTTCTCCCCCTTGCTTCTCGTACTTGCCTCCTCCCCCTTGCTTCTCGTGCCGCCGCCGCTGCCGTTGCTGCTGCTCTTTCCTCCTGGCGGCTTTCGTGCTGCCTCCCTTCTTCTTCTTCTTCTCCTCCTCCTCTTGCTGGCCCCCCTTCTGCGGCTGATTGTCCTTGCAGATGCCAAAGTGTAGGACGGCGAATGCGGATGCCTCGGCGGAGTGATTTGCCAGCAGCTCATCCACGTGCTTGGTGCCTACTCTTAGCACGAGCTCCCTGGCCCTGGCCTCCTCCAGATCTGGGTAGTAGCTGAACATCTATGTGCTCGACGGTCTGTTGCGGATGGCCACACGGGCAGCAAGGCGTATCCTTGGACCTGTCCACGTGGTTCTTGTGCACACGCTGTCTGAACAGGTTTACGTTTACAGCAGTGACCTCGACCCTGCACTGGAATTGCATGCTCGGCTGGTGCCGCTGTCTGTGGAAAACGAAACGCAGCCCCCCCCCTGTCATTTTGACTCGTGTTCCCCCCCTCCGCTCCCAAATCTCAAATCCTCCCAATATAAGCTATTTCCTATATAACTATTTTAATATAAATACTTATACTATAAATATATATATTATTATAATCCTTATATTCTTAAGAATATATATAAAATATTTATAAAATTAAATACTTTATATTATTTACTTAAATTTAATATTTAAATTTAATAAAGTTTTAAGATTTTAAATAATTATATATTTAATATATAATTATAAGATTATATTTATTATATTTAAAGTTATATATTATAAACTTTAATATTATATATAATTTATATATAATATTAAATATTTTATAATTTTAACTTTAATATTTAAAATATTATATAATTTACTTTTTATTTATATTAATTTATACTAATATTTTAAGAAGAAAATTTACTTATATATTATTAATTATATTTTATATTATATTATAAAAATATTAAATATAATTTATTTATAATACTTAATATATAAATTAATTATAATAATATATATTATTATAAAATACTTTTTTAATTATATATTATATTTTATTAAATAATATATTTTATAAGAAGTATAATTATATATTTTATATTATAATAAATAATTCTTTAGTAAAGATATAATAAAATATAGCTGGATTTTAGATTTGAGATTTTGCCGCCGAGGGGGGGAACATGAGTCAAAACGACAGGGGGGGGGCTGCGTTTCGTTTTCCACAGACAGCGGGGCAGATCGGCATACCGCTCCAGGTTGTGTCTTCCCCAACCCTGAGGGTCGGAGTATGCTGCCGGAATGCGTCCCGGTCTGTTTGTGATGTAGGCGAGCTTGTGGTCCTCCCAAGCTGCGCGGCTTGCTTCCTCCGCTCGCTGGTCGGCCAGCTGTTTGACGCACTTCCGAAGGTCAAGGAACTCATTGCCAGGCCGTGGATTGAGTGCATCATCAAGCATTTTGCGCTCGATAGTATCAAGTTGATGGTACGGGTGACGGTCCCCGGGACTGCTCCGTTTGTTCAACCAAGCGCGTGCTCGGATGCGACACAGTTCCTTGTGTTGAGGAGTGTCAAGCTCCCGTGCTCGCTGGACGATGGCAGTCTTCTCCAGAAAGGTGGACATGCGGTGAATGTGAAGCTCCTTGAAAAGGACTTCGGCGAGTGTTCCCTTCATGCAACCAGAAACATCGAGGAGAAAACTTTTGTGCAGTTTTTCCAGCTCTTCAATGTAGGCGCTGTTCATTTTGTACTTGGCACAGGCGTCCCGAGCGAGATACCAGGCGCCACAAGCGTATGAAAAGATGGGCAGGACCTTGGCCATGTACAGCTGTCTCATTTGTTGCAGCTTGGGACCTGTCTGCGTTCGAGAGATGTGCCAAAAGTTATACTGTTGCGTCTTGACCTTCTTCGCGATCTGTGACATCAGATTAGTCAATGCATCAAGGACTTGCGCAATTAAGCAAGGGTGTTCTCACGTAGTCATTGTGCGGGCCCCATTTCAGTTGCGAGTCGACCATGACCCCCAATATACGAAGGTGTGGCACGTCGTAGCCCTCGGGTGCCTCCAGATGCTTGGGAGTTAGGCCCTGGATGTCAGGCAGACTTTTACAGCGTCTCGCCAGGGGTCCTCGTTGGAAATGTAGCAGCCCGTATTTGTGTGGCGCAAATTCAACGTCGTTGGCACTGGCCCAGGCCTGCACGCGACCGTGCGATCTGGTCAACGCTTTGCAATTCTTGTCGAAATCCTTGCCCCGGACGATAATGTAGCTGTCGTCGACATAAGAGAAGATGGAAGCATGCACGGCGCCACAGCGTCCCAATTCAATCTCCAACAGAACCGAGGCAAAGAAGAGAAACAGTATGGGGGAGAGACTGCTCCCTTGGGGGATACCAAGGCTGATGAAAAAGGCCTCGGGCGCACGACCTGGCAAGTGCAGGTCTGTATGAGTTCCACGGAGCCAGGAATATGCGAATCGGATAATCCAGGTGGGCACCTTTTTTCCTTGCCATGGCTTCGAGGAGTCCGTCGCGGTTGACCCGAGGGTACGCGCCTGTGATATCAAGACTCAAGAGCGAGACCCTCTGATCGACTGACCAACCTGTGTACACCTGATTCAAGAGGAACTGCAGCGCGCTTGTTGTGCTTTTCCCAGAGATTCCAAATTGGTTTGCGGGCAAACATCCTGTCCGTGTAGCAAACCCGGTGAGCCGGTTGGCTACCAACTTGTCCAAGACCTTGCTCACGGCGCCTAGCAGTGTGATGGGCCTCCAACTTTTAGGACAGGCTTAGGAAGACTTGTCTGGCTCCGGTATGGCGATAGTCCGAGATTTTTTGAATAATTTAGGGTGGTACGAAAGGCGCCAACAGGTCTCGAATAGGTGCTCCAGGTGTTTCTCAAAAATGTCCACGCATGTAATCAAGGCCTCGTTGGCAATAATTCCAACGCCAATTACTTTGTGTCGCTTCAGATCTTTCACGATATCAGAGACTTCTTCTGGCCTCAGTTGTCTTTCAGACTCGTCAGGATTCTCCAACAATGACTTGTTTGGAATCTGAGGTGGCGAGGAACTGCGGAAATTGCCTGTCTCCGGGCCGTGGATAGTTCTGATGGAATGATCGCCCTCGTGGTACCCATGTGGCACTAGTTCGGTGTCATCTTCTTGTTCTTGGAGGAGCCTGGGCATGTGAGGCAAGAGTCGGGGTTTCCTCCACTTCGCAGATCTGCGTTAGACTCGGCAAAGACGATTTAGGTCGATACTCGAAAGAAATCGACGGAAATTTATTTCGCGACTTCTATTGGTAGAAGGGCACAAATTTCTGAGGTGCATGTACCTTTCTCTGCTTGCACAGAGCCTTTTGCGGGCAGGGACGACGGGTGACAGGGTCCAGAAGTGGAACGCATCGTGAGGCAGGATTCGTAATGGCGTCCCAACAGCGAACCCCGTACTCTCCCGTTGACACTTCGTCGAATAGAGCCGTATGAATGGACAGCTTGCTGAATCTTTCTTTGACACCTTCTCGCAAACGAAAGGAAGTATCACGGTCCAAGCTCCAGCGAATCCTCCGATCCAAGACTTGTCGTGGACGCGTAACAATGACGGCGCCGATAACACAGTCATCGGATTTGAATGCGTCCACCTCAATCACAAGTCGTTCACCTTTGGGAAAATGGTGCTAGGGCCTGGTTTTGACGAACGTTTGAAAACGGTGAGTTGAGGTGGGAATTTGCGTGACTGTCCCAAGAACTCTTTCCGCCCCGCTGAATGTGAGAGGGCGTCACCAAGGCATATCCCGTTGCACAAATTTCGGGTGCTACTGATGATGGCTTCCATACACATCGTACATGCTTGCTCGGCAACCATTAGATACGCCACGCTGCATGCATGCGTTAGACTGCAGAGGTAGCGTAGGAGGATTTGACGAATTAGTGGGGCCATTTTCAGGTGCATCTCCCAAGTCAAGACTGAAGATGCGCCTCAATGGTCAGATTACGCCTCGGCCGAGCTGTGGGAGTAGTGCTGACGATCCACATTTGTTTACACATAGCTGCCTCAAAAGGATTCATTTTGACAAGGATGGATGTACATTGGCGTAAAACTTGTCTCGGATCTGGGATCTCTAGCTCAAATAATGGTCCATTCTCTGGCGTGGCATCAGTCCACCACTGTTTTACCTTACGACTACTCTAAATCAGCACTGAAATGCGACTCCAACCATGCCTGTGATTGTAAAGTGAAGCAAAGCCGTATTTACCAAATCACCATGGCACCTCATGAACTCTACCAGCGAGCCCGCCTGTCCTGGCTGGAGCTTCTCAGTCTGGCCATCAAGCTCTTCATCATCAGTGAGGCAAAACCATACCGCTCATTCACGGCCAGAGAAAAGCCCTGGGACACTAACAGACTTGACAGCGCCGCCATCACTCTTCGTCAACCTCCTTCATGCAGTTCCGCAATGCGTACTCCGCGGCCTTCCATTGCTGCCTTACATATATTGCAACCTGCTCCGCACACTTATGAACACCCTGACGCCCAAACAACTGCAATCCATCCTCCCGCCGTCGGGAACAATCTACCTCGTCTGGCTAGCCGCGACGCTGTCAAAGGCGATCCTGAAGCTCGACGACGGCGACGGTGACAAGCCCGACCTCCCGTCCCGCCTCAGACGCGATATCCAGCCCCTCTCGGACGGCAAGAGCTCCATCCTCTGGCTAGGCGACCGCGCCATGGCGACCAAGTTCGTCCTCTTCCTGCACGGCGGCGGCTTCGTCCTCCCCCTCGACGTCGGCCACCTCAACTGGTGTCGCAACGCCTACCTGTCGGCCGCCGAGGAGGCGGGCGAGGACGTCGCCGTCGCGATACTGCAGTACAGCCTGTGCCCCGGCGACACCTACCCGACGCAGCTTTTCCAGGCCGCCGAGGCGCTGAGCCTCGTCCTGGATGGCGGCCGCGTCTCTCCCGCTGACGTCGTCTTCGGCGGGGACTCGTGCGGCGGCCACATGACTGCTGGGCTGCTGGCGCACCTGGTCCACCCCGTCCCGGGGGCGCGGAAGATCGAGCTCCGGGACGGGGAGAGGTTCGCTGGGGCGTTCTTGGTGTCGCCCTGGCTGAGCTGTGCGGACGACGGGCCGGCGTTTCGGGAGAATGGGTATCTGGACATGGTCTCACCCAAGGTTGTCAGACAGTCAACGGCCTTCATGACGAGCGGATTCGGTGGTGCCCAAAGCTCGGAGGCAGTCAAGGCGCTGGGCTGGGCTATGCCTGGGGATACTGAAGACAGCACTTGGTGGGACGGCGTGAACGAGGTTGTGAGCGATGTGTTGGTGACGGCGGGGAGGTGCGAGGTACTGAGGGAGGAGATCGTGTCTTTTGCAAAAAGGATCAGGGCGAGAAATCCTGGAACGAATGTTGTCCTCGACGTGAGACCTCGGGATGCCCACGACTTCATACTGCTGGAGGGGCAACTGAATCGGGTTGGTGGTGCAACGAGGCGGATGAAGTCTTGGTACAAGGACATTTTACAGAGGAAAGCCTGAGGATTCATCTCGTAGGCAGGACGTAGGCGTTATGGAGCCATCAAAGCAGGAGTCACGATACATACCTGAGCAGGCTGGACCTCTCAAGATTAGATCTTTTACTGCAAATAACTTGCTGCTTGCCAGGCCATCGCAGTGGTCTTCTCGCGACCTGGAAACATGATCCCATGTGCAATTCATGTTTACTCACCCTGAAGAAAGCTGTTGATGGAAACGCTTGGACTTGTAAACATATGTGGGCGTCGTTCCACCTCCATCTGGTATGGAGCTCTTCGATCGCATCGAGACGGCAGACTCATTCGGTTGGTATACTCAGTCTCGCAAAGAAGTATCAAGGGGAACTAGGCCCTATGCACTCTGAGGCCACGGACGCAGCGATCGTCAGCTACTAGTGAGCATCGTGTCAGGAGACGAAAGGTTGTCACAGCAAGAGAACATGATAGCCGTGCTCCCATCATGAAGCTTCAGCTCCGAAGCCCCCACCACAGGGCGAGCAGCACACTACTGAGGCTGATCAGCAGCTAGTTGCTGGAGGGGCGAGCTCAACTGGGACCCCGTAAATACCTAGGCAGGCCTGTGCCCCCTGAAAGTGCCAGCTGCGGTATGTATTCACGTGAGCTCCCTTTCACTGACCACTGATGCGGCAGCATCCCAAAGGGGCAAGCCCGGTGAGAGAACCTCGGAACCAGTACTTAAACCCAGAAGTGAGGCCATCAACAAACATCTCTGCCTCCAAAGTCCACACCACGACAATCCTGTAAGTTCCCTTCCATTCTTCTCCCATTGAACATCCCCTCCGTTGCAGAATACTCTCACATCCCCACTCCCGCATTCTTTACCCTTCTCTACCCTCCTCAGCACCCTCGCTTCGTATACTCGTTCAAGTCGGCGACGGCAACGGTGAGTACAACACACATACCCTCCTTTTGACCTCCTCTTATCCCTCAAACCTCGCAACGCACTTGGCCAACCACAAAAACACCCTTCTCGCCGCTTTAAGCCCCCCAGCCTGCCAATTCCCCTTCCCCTATACCCCCCGCAGTCCACAGTGTCCCTCCCCCTTCACTGAAGCAAAGCACAGCTCCCCAAGTGAAGCTGCTGCAAAGCTTCTCAGAAGAGCTTCACCTCAAACGCGACCTTTTGCACGCGCCTCGCGTCTTGCCCCCCACTGTCAACACAAAACATCGACCATCTTTTTTGTCAACCCCACCGTCAACTTTCAACCTTTCCCAAACACCAACCACACACAATCGCGACCTTCCCTTCTCACTTCCTCTCACAATCACAACACACACACACACACACACACACAACCACCACGCCAACCCCCGTTAACAACAACCGCAGCACGCTCGACATTCCTCATGGCGCCGACGCCCTCCTCACTTGACTTTCAAAGGTTCGTCTCCCTCTCAATCCCACATGCTGACCATTACACAGTCACCACCCTCAGACTGGCAGAGACACAGAAAGAGGAGGAAGAGGGACGTGTTCCGCGAGCTTAGTGAGGCTGGAAGTGGAATGCCAGCCGAGGCCGGGCACAGAAAGAGGAGGAATAGGGAGTGTCTCTTCTCGACAAACCTCGCCCTCCTTCCCCCGCCCTCCTCCCTCACCCCCGACCGATCGACCGCATGCCCGAGCCGAACGACCGTATACGCATACGACCCTCCCGACCGTATACACCCGGCCGACCGACCGCCCAAACCCCCGACGCCCCGCCGACCTACACACACCGGATTGGGAGATGGGCACCGAAAGAGGAGGACCTGGGAACCGTGTTCCGTGTTGCCGATGAAGCAGGAAGGAGAATGCCGCGGAGGCCGGGCACAGAAAGAGGAGGAACAATTGTGCTCAGGGTCCACACACACACACCTATATACTATACTATACTATACCAAGAGAAGACAACAGCACGAACACGCCCTTCGGGGCGGCGTTTGGAGTTGCTTGGCTTCATACTCAATCTTTTGTCTCCTCTCCGGCTTCGGCTGGATTGATCTTCCATGGAACTCTGTTTCATGAGTCTGGCCAGACTCTCAATTTTTTGAAAACCTTCAAGCTTCAGCTTGACACTTTTTTTTTTCATTGCTATCGTGGGTTGATCCCGCGAAGCGAAGAAGAAACAATAACAACAACGCGGCTATGTCGCGGCGTAGCGACGCGTCATTGTTTACCCTCTAGACAGAAGCCTGACCTCACTCGAGACAAGGTGTTGAGAGGCCAGGCTCGCTTGGCCAGCCCAGGAAGAGTCTGCCCTCGACGCAACCACCAACATGGTCCTCACTCGAGACCAACCTTTCTGCTGGAGTGTGGGCCCTCCAAAGCGACCACAAGACAAGCACAGAATGCCAGGCCAACGTTGAAGTAGCTCACAGTCTCAGCCGCCCCTGACAAGGTTCCTGGCGGTGGCCAGGGCCATCACCCGACCACAGCTTGGCTTTTCAGAGAAGGCTTTCTTCTAGCTGGCACAGATACCAATCTTTACATCACGCTCCGTCCTAGCTGACCAATCCATAGGTAGTTGGGTATTGTAGGGCCAGGAAATGCCGACCATTGGGCGAGGGACTGGGCTCCAACTGACGCGCCTGGAAGCCTGCTGGTGCTTCCTCCTTTGGGATGCTCACCACTGCCACTTGGCCACGGAGTAGTTGTGTCAAAACCATAACGAATACTATCATTGGCGTCGAAGACATGAAAGGAAGAGGACGAGCTTGGTAGACATGTAGGGGGAAAGAGAGCTGGCTGTTCCTTGGCCACTTGGCCACGCAGTTCATGACAGCCAGCAGTAGGCTCGAGAAGGATATCCGTGAGCTTGGAGTTGCCCAGATGATTTGTTATATTTGAGGCGGTGACGGCCTTCTAGCAGTTCGTGGGGCTACTGTGGTTCCTTCCCCTGAAGTCGTCACGGCTTTCCCGGATCGGACAACAGTGCTGTCGCTCGGGGCACAGCCGGTGAGATGTGAAACCTCCGTATGGCCAAAAGGCTCGGGAGGGTCGAAGACAACCCCGAAACAGATAAAGACTTTGACTTGAAAGGGCACTGAGATATCGAGTTCCGCTTAATCTGGCAGGCCGGCAGGCTGTCAAGGGGAGGCTTGGGGGCAAGTTTGAGGTTGAGGTCAGGTTGCCTGGGCACGTTAGGTCAGGTACACTGGCGGTAAGGCGGTAAGGCTAGGCAACCTTGGAAGGCCAGGCCAGGCCAAGCGAGTGGGGGCACCTCAATTGTCAGCTGTCAGCAATCACGGGTCGGGTGCAGGCGATAAGATCTGACAGGGGATCCCCGCCCCCGCCCACCAACTGTTTGCCGATCACCCAGCGACGGGCGGACGCCCAAACAACAAATCCATCCCGTTTGCCTGGTTCCGTGTACTCAGAGGGATCGCATCTTGCTGCATCTGATTTTTGCGTTTTTTACTCCTGGCACACCGACTGCGAGCCCTGCCTTGGTTTTGCCCGACCGGCACTTGACTTTGCTACATTTCCACCTCGCTCTTTCTTAGGCCTGGGTTTTGCTGCATCCTGGCCGCGGAAACTGCCTGATCCATCTTTGATCTTTTGATACCCTCTTCCCTGGCGCCGACGATACAAATTCACAGAAGCCCTTCTCTTGGTGCCACTTTTCTGTCCCTACCATTCTCTCCCTGGTCAAGTCTACCCAGAGACACACATCATACAGACATCATGTCACCAAGCGCGGTTAACAACGAGCCGGTCAATAGCCTCGACGACCACATCGAGCCGGCAAACCCAGGTACGCACCCCAGTCCTCTTCTCTTACCACGTCTCTCCTCTCGCCCTGCCTGCTAACCATGTCGCACACCACGCCAGACCCCTCCGTCGTCTTTACCCCCAAGATCACCGGCGACTGGACCGTAGCCAAGGTCCTCGCAACCATCTCGACCGGCGCGCCACAGGAGAACTCCCCCTCGCCGGTGCCCTACTTCCACATGCTGGAGCGCCTCAAGACGACCAAGCGCGAGGGCTGGCGGCGCTTCGGCATCGCGCGCGGCGAGTCCATCGCCGACCACATGTACCGCATGGCCATGATCAGCATGCTGGCGCCCCCCTCCCTGCGCGCCCGGATCGACCGCGACAAGTGCACGCGCATGTGCCTCGTGCACGACATGGCCGAGAGCCTGGTCGGCGACATCACGCCCGTCGACGGCGTCCCGAAGCTCGAGAAGTCGCGCCGCGAGGCAGAGACCATGGACTACCTGACGGGGAACCTGCTCAAGGGTCTTCTGGGTGGCGAGGCGGCGGGCGAGGAGATCCGCGCGCTTTGGCAGGAGTACGAGGACAGCGAGACGCTCGACAGCCACTTCGTTCATGACATCGACAAGGTGGAGTTGCTGCTGCAGATGATCGAGTACGAGAAGAGGGGCGAGAGGAAGCTTGACCTCGGCGAGTTCGCGTATGTTGCCACGCGGCTCGCGCTGGACGAGACCAAGGAGTGGGCGGCCGAGATCATCAAGGAGAGGGAGGCATACTGGGGTCGTGAGGGCCACATCCACGGCGATGAGGGTGTTGATGGCGGCGTGACGAAGGACCACCTGCAGGCTGTCGATGAGTACTACAAGGGTGCTGGCGGTGCGCCTTGACGTGCGCCTTGATCGTGTGTCACATGCGCATGAGTTTGTGTCAGTGGAGACGATGGATGGACCTATCCGGTTCTACCTGGGCCATTCTTCAGATACCAAGTCGAAAAGGGCTACTCCAGAAAGCCAGACTTCAGAGGGAGGAACGGGTCTTGGGGGAAAGCCAGTAGTTGGAAAGACAATTATTACCTGGCCACTTCTGTTGACGACGTGAGAATATGCTCCTCCTAGTATAGGCTGCATTTGGCTGCCTGCGCAGCCGGCAGCATACCCACCTGGGCCTGTGGGCTTGATCACGTCATGTCCGCTGTGCCGTTCCTCAATGAATGGGGTGAACCAATCAGCAAATCGCAAAATGTCCAGAATCATAGTCACCAAATGCCGTCTTTTTCTCGAAAGGGCCAACATGAGCTTTATAATAATTAATGGCAAGCTACGTTTACCTTCGTCGCCACGTCTAGCCGAGCTTTGCGGGTCCAAGTCAATAGGGCAGACACATTAAGAAGAAGGGGCCATGCACTGTGCTGGGTGACTAATCCATGAATGCATATGAGCCCAGAGGAAACCGTAGCGTCGAGCAGAGAAACGTGGGCGAGGTGTGGTGTTTTGGTCCTTGATGTTGCACTTGTCGCAATGCACGTGGTGTCTTCCCCGAAGCGCCCCCGTCAGCTCGTGGCCCCCAATCTGGAGAATGAGAACACGTTTGTTGACGTCGCTCGGGTTTGTCTACAGCGGCGGAACGCTGAGAACGCACGGTAGAGGCAGTCCATGGACGGTATATATTTAACAACGACAAGCACATTGCCCTTGAAACGTGGCAATTCAAGTGTCAGCGCACTTTCACCACAGTGCAGCCCGCTACCGAGGCCTAGAAATCAGTGAGTCTGGATTATTTCTTAGTTCCGCCAGTCCACAGCGCCAGTACCTGGATTTCCGAGACTCCTTGCTAACGATCATGGCCAACGTGTACTCACCGGTTGTCGCAAGAAACATGAACCAGAGCTGCTGAGAATATAAGCAATATATCTGAAGGCTCACGGCGCTGCACGCGGGGCGGTGCGAAATGGACTTTGGGCATATTTGCATGGCTGGGTAGCAGCTTACGAAATAGTATACTGTTACGCCACGGTTAGATATTGAATACAAACGTGTACTGACCTACCAGTGCTTCATGATAGTAAGAGTATATGTTTATACTATTAAACCTCGTTCTCGGTGTTGAATAAATTCAATTGACATAGTTGGTATTCCTCCAAAGTTCCTATGTGAAACTACCTTCATAATCTTTTTGAAGCTGTTTTCTAATTACAGCAAGCTTCATCACACTGGAACCGGGTTCCGACGATTTCTCAGTGGCTCAATGGCCCTTGGCGCTCTATTCTCTTGACTCCACAAGATTGTGGTGTGCAAGATGAGTCGCATGTTGGCGTTGCCCGGATGGCGTTCAGCAGATAAAGATGTCAGTCGCCGGACTATTAGGCTTAGTGAGCAGCTCATCGATAAAAGGGTCCTCCATTCCCTCTGGCCCCGGAAAGAAGATGGAGCCAATTAATTTGTGCTTTCCCGGGTCTCTGTCCTCGGGTCGAAGGAGCAACGCGCGAGAGCAGCCTCGCACAAGATACACCTCGTCACCCGGCTTGGCGGTCGTGTACCACAGCAGCCCAAACAACGCCCGAGCTTTCTCCCCACCAGTCGCAACGGACACGTCTGCCTCCAGGCGTATGACGGAGAAATGCTGACGGATGTGTAGATTCGTGGTTCCCCAAAGGGCCTCTTTACGGCGGTATCTGGCCTTAATATCAAGGATGTCGTCTTTGATCATGGCCTTTTCCGAATTTGTTGATTGCAAGAACTCCGCGACTCGAGCGATTTCTTCAGGTAGGTTCGTGTCGTTGCCACCATCGAGGGGTCTGACAGCAAATGAAAACCTCTCAGCCTCCTCCACTTTCACCTGCAGAGACTCCATAGTAGCGAAGGTGAAGGCAAAGGCGTGTTTCTCAGGGCCGAACGCGGCATCTGTCATTTTCGCAGCCGCCATAGTTACTTTTCCTACACGATTCCCCTTGACGTGAAGCGTCCGGAGATCTTTTGATACCCTGGTGAAGATGGCCTGGCTCCATCGGCGGTCATGATCAAGGCGCAACAGTTCGGGCAAGCACCTGAGCTCCCCACTGGCCTTATAAGGACCCCTGAAATATAGTTCTGGGTCCCACGATGGCAGAGTAGCGGCCTCTGTGTAATCAAATAGATTTGACAAGCCGAGAAAGTCGAGCGTGCCCGTGGTAAGCAGGAAGGCCTGTTTGCAACTCCCAAGAACTTGAGCCGTCGATAAGGAATAGTTGACCTCGACCCTGTTCTTCACTTGCGGTGGAAACCAGGACCATAGACCAAATACAAAATCCCTCGGGTCAGAGCATGTTCTGAGACAGCATATGTCAACCCAACTGCTCAGATCGAGATGCCCATTATCCGAGGAACCCATCGGCCGAACTGTGAGACACTTCCTTTGAAAATTCCGCAAAGGCAAACCAAGTGTTCCTTGATGGTAACGCCCATCTTCGGGTAGTGAAAAGAGACTAGAGACTACGTCTTGCAATCTGAGTAATCTGTCGAAAGGAACCTCACTACACGTCGTGACCAAAGTGACCTGCTTTGAGTATCTGACCTCCTGGGCTGTCCAGATCCTGCTCCAGTAACGCTGCCTGGCGATTGCGGAGAGGGTCTCTCTAGGGTCCCTGGATTTCACTCGGGACGATGGGCAGTAGCCGGGCTCAGTCCAAGTGGATAGGCGTGATTCCCCGTCTTCGCCCAGACTCTTATCGAGCCAGGCAAGTGTCTCGTAAGCGCTCGAGTATATGTCCCTCATCACTTGCACCTCTACATTTCGCTCAGCAATATCAGATTGGTTGATAGCCAAGGCGTCGACCCAGATCACGCGGCTCTCGTGTTGCAACCGTAAACGACGCAAAGCCTTGTACAGGTTTTGTGTAACGAGTACAGTCGTTCCGTTGAGGCGGATTTCTCTGGGGTCGTCCTGGCTCCCCTAGACATATGATAGCGCTTGATATCTTGGGTTGCCGTTGAGCCGCACATGCTCGAGGGAACAGACGACGTCGGCATTCAAGTCGGAGGCGGGATGAAGATGTACGAGTCGGATAGTCCCCGGCTCTAGGGGAGTATAGATGGTTTCTGCTGCCTTTTTGTTGAGTGCTGCCATGGTAGACTCCATTGTCCGGTTCGATCGCCAGGGCTTTCCGGTGTCTCGTAGTACGCCCGGCAGGTTGATCAGCCAACCTCGGCGGGCGATTTCCTTCTCGAGTCTACTTCCGAGCCGCCAGGCCAACTCCCAGGTTTCAAGACGGCAATTGAGCGTCAGAAGTTGTGCATGGGTGAAGCCGTAAGGGATGATGGCTGTTGCCTGGTAAGAAGGGAAAGTCCTTGATAATAACTACAGTGTTGAAGCGTCAGCGACATCGTGCGGGGAACCCTACTAGATGTCACAGACGTTACTCAGCCGCAATGGGAAGGAAACAGTTGTGCCTCTTGTACATACCGGTGAAGAGCAAGGCTGAGATAAGTTTGGTGATGATCCGCAGAAGCATGAAGTCTGTCGGCTAATTGACGGTCAAGATGGACTGGCTCAACGGTTCGCTTATCCTGGGAAGAACAGAAAGCTGTTTATGTCCTCCTCTCGACCGTTCGTTGGCGTCTTTCCCCCTTTTCTTATCTTAAGCTATGCTATTGAATTTCCATGCAAGAAAGCCTCGGTTCCTTGAAAATTGAAAGAGGTTTTGGTGCATCCTTCTGAATGCGAGCAACTTGGTCTTGGATGCGGTGCCAAGGTGACAAAGAATCGCCCAGTCTAGCAACTTCAACCAATGGCGAGAACTCACAACAAACATTGGGATTGTGCATAAGACTCGTCCGCAGAGACTTTGTCAATGAACGCTAATTTGCCTTTGTCCCCGTTCCGGCCAAATTTTCGGATCGCACTCCCATCAACGCCGTCCTCCAATGTTGTGAGGCCCAGCCACACGATGACGTGGGAGTACGGAACCCCCCCCCCCCAAAGAAAAAGAATACCAATCTCATCAATCACCAACGAGCCATCGTCAGGCCACTCAAACTGGTCCTGCCCGGCGGCAGCTATCCTCTTCGCGGAAACAGCACCCTCCGTGTGGATGCGGACGAGGACGAGGAAGAAGTGCTCGAAGCAGACGAGTCTGAGGAAGACGAGCTCGACCCCTCTGTCCTATCCTGCAACGGTGATTCTGGTGAGCGCGAGCGTATTCGGCCTCGCTTGAGTCGCTCCGGTGTAGGAGTCTGGAGGTCCGTATCGGGCGGGTCCGGGGGCATGATGGCCACGTCGCCGGGGGCCGCTGGGTGGTCCCGCGGGTCGACCCTGCGACCCATTAATTCTTCGTCCTCTTCTTGGTTCAAGTATAAGAACCCGTTCCTCTCGTATGCCCGTCCTACAGTCCTGATCCTCTCTGAAAACGTCATTTCCAGACCCGGATTTATCGAAGAGGTCCAATTGCTGCGATATGCTGATCCCAGTAAACCCGGCTCCAGCAAAACTGCAGCATTTAGAGTTAGCAATCAAGGCAGCAAATAGGCACCTGTGTTTTTACGGGCTGGAGCTGAGAGATATTCCATCTCTACGAGTCAAGATTGTATCTGAGAGCTCCTTACTGGTAAGCGGGCCGTTGAGATTGTATGCTTCCATGTGGGTTGTTAGTCTTGTCTATAGCGAATCCGTACCATATCGGCACTTGGCCAAGATTCTGGGAACGACTTACGTTCTGGAAGTGTCCCACCCGCCATTAACCTGTAAAACAAATCGAAGCCTTGGTCGATGATGCGCTGTCCTGTAACCTGGGACCGGGGGCAGTATTAGAGGGCTAGATTAATACAGTAGGGAGTGTAAATCAAACATCTAGGATGGTACGCACGCTGTCATCTAACCAAATCATTTGTATATAAACGACGTCAGTATTGTCATTAAGCCTCGCCCAAGGTGCGGCAAAGTCTTGCCGAAGTGGAGGGCGTGGGAGGATATTCCCATTCCGGTCTGCCGTAATTTGCTCATCGAGGTCGGGCCTTGCAAAGAGCCTACTGAAGAAGACTCGCATGTCTGATAAGGGGTCACCAAATCTCTCCCCCCACTCGCCCAGTAATAGATCTATCCAATCATCTGAAGTCCGGCCCATCTGCCAGGCGTGAATGAAGCCTATGAATTGCTCCTCTTGGCCCGGGCGCGTTAGAAACATCTCCCCGAAATAACCCCTCCGTCCCGTGGGAATCGGGTCCTCATAGACCTGCAGCGACATTCGTAGTGTAGCCCTGATTCTACTGCGGTGGAGTAGTATGTCTGATGTGCCTCGTGCCTCGGCCATAACTACGATATTAGGATGTCTCCGCTCCTCTGGTCTGGCACGTGTGCGAGGCAATCCACTATCCGCAGCCACATATGGGCCATGCAAGGGCCGCATGGGGCCGGGCAGCGACGTAGGATCGACGGTGACGTGATTCTGCATGCCTCTTCGACATCTAGGTGGGCAGTAGCATCCCTTGAAATCGTTTCTGAGTCTCCGAAGCTGGTCCTGTAGATGCTTCTGGCGAAGGAAGAGGGACCAGCGGTCATTACCCAGTCGTGGAGAACGGACATTAGCCATGATCAGGTGGATCTTGATTAGTTGTCGATCAATCTCTGGCGCGATTGTGACAGAGGGAATTGATAAAATGACCAGCTCTGGTCCTCGTTTCACGCTGGTGAACCTAGTCCTCAACCACTCAATTATATCATTGAGGTGCTCAAACCGGCTCCGAAAGCGTCAAGTCTTCAGACCCTTTGTTGCCATGTGCTGTTACGATGGACAAAGCAGAGCGACGTTGAACAAATCTACCCGAATCACTGAAGATCCAGAAATAAATGCTATGAATTTGATGGAGAATTGCCAGATCAGTCAGAAATATGGTTGAGTGAAAATCAAAAACAGCATGAGCGAACGCAAACATCACGGATGTGTGTTGTATGAGCAGTGACTTGCTCCACGTCTCAATGCCTGCGGCAACGCGGCAAATTTCAACACATCACTGACCCAAGAAAGGGAATTTAATATTTAATTCTACCACACGCTTGTATAAATCGGGTCGATGGAGCCCGCCAAGTAGAAATTGCGAAATGATTGGAACAATGCATGAGATTCAGTTGGAACGATAGCTAACTATGTGATGCCAGCATCTTTGTAAATCTACTGTAATACGACGAGACGTCTGTGGTATGAAATGAGGATGGAGTGAGTTTGATTCGCACCGTAAAAATAGCCTTTGTAGCATGAAGTGCATTAATGGGCCAGTCGAGTTCTAATAAAGACCTGTTCAGGACTCTGTGTGCACTATCGAGATCGAGTGCTTGAATGCGGTAGCCTCTTGCGAGATGGCCGAACATGTGATGATCCAACAGAAGTGTAGAAGCTTCCAAGGTTCTCACTTACATGGAGGGAGGTGATAGGTCGTCGATTTCCTCCTTTTTGAGCTGCAATGTTAGACGCCATTGTGGATGGTTTCCTGCTTGAGTTTATTTCGAAGGGATGAGGGCTGTTTGTTGCCCGGGAGACCCCGCCCCCTTCTGTGGGCATTGTACTGCTCCAAACCCAGGCCCGTTCGTCTGACCGCTCGCTCGGATCGACCCGCCCCCCAAGCTCTCTTTTGCTGCTCGCTACCAATCCCCGGCTCCCTCCCACTGCCCTGCAGCGGCCAGGCTCCACTTTCCCCCCAGACACGCGAGACCAACACCTGTAATCTTGCAGCTTCTAGTCGACCGCCAGTTCGACGAGATCCACACGCGACCGGCCACGCACCCACGCGCTCATCAATTTCGAAACACGTCAAATTTATTCTACGGCTTCCTCGCAGCATCGTCTGATCATCACCAGTGTTTCTGCTGCATCGTCTTTGTTTCTCGACCGAGTAGCGCGAGGAGAAGAAGAAGAAGCTGGACCCTGGCCCGCCCCTAGATCGGATCGGTCACGTTGATCCCTGTCGCCATTGACGTCGTCCTGCCTGTCCTGCTGCTGCCCTCTTTATTTACTTGTCTATAGCCCAGTCCGGCCCAGATCCAGTCTTGGGGTATCTCCCCTTCGCTTCGCCTCGCCTCGCCTCGACCATCCCACAACCTCGTCACAGCTCCACCACGGACACACAGCCCACCCCGACTTGACGGCTTCCACGGCTTCCACGGAGATTTGACAGTAATCTTGGGGGGACGCAGCAGGGGGCCCGGCTCCAGCCAGAAATGCTGCTTCACAACTCGCGCCAAGCTGTGGCAGAGCATGCGTGAACGAGGACTAGAACCTAAACCCTGAGCTCGAGCTCCAACATCACAGACGGGGAACATCCACCTGTCACTCCGAACTGTTACTGCACTCTTCCCTGGTCCTTTCACGAAGTTGTCTCCCTGGACATACCACGCACCACGCAACACGCACCAGAGCCCAGAGCTCTAGAGCTGCGTCACGAGCTCTGCTGACCCGCCTCGGGAGGCCCTCCACTTCTTCGGCCGTCCCCCTTCGATCCAACCTGTGCTTGCAACCGGCTTGCCTCCGCCTGGCCTTGTGACTCTCCGTCCACCGAGATGGCGTCTGCGTCGCCATTTCACATGCCAGGCGCATTCCACTTCTCCGAGCCGACCACCTCCTCCACCGCCCTCAACGCCAACATGTTCCGCCCTCCAGTCTCGCCCTCCGCCTCCACCTACAACCTCTCCAAGTCCACCGGCTCGATACTCTCGGATAACACCTCCGCCAACAACAGCACACACCTGCCCCGAAATTAGGGAGGAAGCGCACATACGATGAAAGCAGAGGCTCCAGCTCGTATTTTGATAGGGTTTCGGCCATGGAGGACAGTGCGCGTGGCCAGGACAGGTACACTTTGGCTGGCCAAATAGAGACGCCCGGCACACAAGTCACACCCGGCACTGCTGCGCTCGACGACAGCCTGTACTCGGATATTGACTACCGCCGTCGCCTGGAGCTGGGTTCAAAAAGGCCACACGATGACCCGTCAACCCCGTCTCTGGACCTGTCGGGCCTCGCCAACACGACAACTGCAACGATCACCCCCCGCGCTGCAGGCTGGACCACATTCGCCTTCCAGGCCATAGGAGGTGTTGTGGGCAAGGTGTGGGAATTCTGTAGGGGCGGCGCTGGTGCTTTCCAAGGCTTCAAAGCAGGCGGTGGGAAGGCCTACGAGACAAACGGCCAGCCCGTCAACAACCCGCTCCCGCTGCGTCTTTCAACCGACCTACCATCCTATCCTCAGGAACAAGATAACCCCCTCAGCCCACCTGGCGCTTTCCCGCTCGCCTCCGACGTAATATCTTATCTTCCAGACAGTATCCCAGACTACCAAGATCACAGACAAGAGGAAATATACCGTGGATATCAAGAGCAGGAGGAACAGGAGCAGCAGCGTGTCCAGCAACAGCAGCAGGAACAAGAACAGCGGGACCAGGAGCGGCGGGAGCTTGAGCGGCAAGAGCTCGAGAGGCAAGAGCTTCAGCGGGAGGAGTCTCCAGACTCAACAACCGATCGACCTGCGCCCAAGAGGAGACAGACGGGCACAATTGGCGAGTCGGATGAGCTGAGGCGGAACTGGGTCATGGTCGACGAGGACGAACAGCGGTCCCCAGCGGCGCGCAGGCCCGCGTTAAACACCAAGCGTTCATCACTGACATCAGTACCGTCGTCTCGCATCCCGGCCCGGAGTTCCAACATGGCGTCTCGTCTACAACAGCCAAAGCCCTACTCGACCCCGACCAAGGCGCCCGGCCCCATGAACCCCCCTGCACGACGGTTTAGTGTGACCTCGCCGCGCTTTGGGCTCGAACAGAAGTCGGGTATCCAGCCACCGCGCTCTGCATCGAGATTGTCTATGGCCTCCAACGCATCCTATGCGGGCGGCTCTATCACATCACCAACGCTGGGTGCCAGCGAAGCCGCCAGCTTTGCCAGCCCACGATCACCTCCCTCGCGGTCGACGCCAGCCACGCCGACTTTTGCGATCAACGGCTCCCGGATACCACAGCCAAAGGGCCTAGGCCTCGGCCCAAATCCATTCGCCAACATCCGTACGCAGTCACCAAACAACCAGCGAGTCTCCCCCAGCCGGCCTACCAGCCGCCACTCAGCCCACCACTCAGTCCACTCGCTCCACCACTCGCCGCTAACCCCGTCATTTATCCCGAGATCGGGCACGCCCTCGCGCGTCGGCCACCGGCGGAGCGCCACGAGCCTCTCGGCGGGACGTGGCAAGCCCCCCGGCCAGATGGACCCGCAGCTGAGCCCGCGCCTGGACGACGAGGCGAAGAAGCTGGCGGCCCAGCGGGCGGCGGCCGAGAAGCGCAACACGTCGCGGCTCGATAAGCTCAACGGGGAGCTGCAAGCGCTGATCCGGCAGGGCCAAGCGGCGCTGGACACGGAGTTTGACGTCGAGATGGGCGAGGGTGACGACGACGGGTGGGATGAGGATTTGAATTGAGTGTGCCGATCTCGGACTGATGTGTTCAAAGAATACACGAGGGAATACAAATGCGCAATTTCCGTTGTCTTGTGCTTTCAAGCGACTTGTTTCTCGCTCTTGCTGGCCTTTTTCCCCGTGGGCTTCAACTTGTCCTTCGCTTAGAAGGGAGGAAGATCCTAGAGAGGTTCAGGGGAGTTTGATGGTATCACAGCACAAAATACCCCGTCTTTTCTGTTCTGTTGGTTTGCGTGGAGTTTGGAAATGGATAGGAAAGGGAGGTCTAGGAGTCTTGCAGCTGTACCTGGCCAGGTACCTGTTGTATCAAAATGTCAAATCATGTGCGGCACATTCTATTTCCCGCCATCGCAAATGCCTCTGGAAGAGGTTTCTGTGCCTGTGTGCATGCGTGCCTACCTAGCTGGCTCGGGAATGGACGGCCATGTGGGGGAGAGCGCAGCATCAAGTCGGATCTTCCACCGTCACTCGTGGGCTCCTGCCGCTCTCTCTCGCAAGGTTGATGATGAATACATTGCGATGAGATCCAATCACGCGCGCACGATCTACGAATTTCTGGGCGAGAGCTCAATTTTGGCCCTTATAAACCGCCTCGAAAATGCAACTCCTCGGGTCGTCAGGCACCTGATGCGTCCCCTCCAGGACAAGCTTCTCGCTGGCCCGCCCAAACAGCGCCGCATACTCGTCCCTCGTCCGCTCCTTCGCGTTGAAGAGCGCCATGGTCATCAGGTCCATCTGCCTGTACCATTCGACACCTGTTAGCGCAGGCTCCTGAGCTGTGTGTGAAAGACTCCTATCACGAAGCCCCCACTCACCTCATGGCCTTTGTTTCAAGCCCCCCGGCCAGGTCCTCATACGGCGGCACGACGTACTCGCTGACGAGCACCCTGCCGCCCTCCCTGAGCGCGGGCAGCAGCGCCCGGAGGATGGCAACGCACTCGGCATCGGGGTGGTTGTGCATCACGTGGCGCAGGAAATACACGTCCGCGCCGGCGACGGGCTGCGCGTCGAAGAAGTCGTGCGCCTGGTACGTTACATTGCCTCCCCCTCCTTCACCACCACTACCACCGGCGAATTCTTCCGCCAGCCCCTCGACCACCCGCGGCAGGTCCTGCACGACGACCCTGAACGAAGGGTTCATCTCGACCAGGTCGCGCGCGAAGTGGCCCCTCGACCCGCCAACATCCACGACCGTCGCGTCGGGAGGCAGGACGGCTCCCCAAGGGAACGCGCGCAGGTCCGTGTCCTGCAGGCGCTGCCCGCCGCGGCTGATGCCCTCCATGCCTCGGTCGAAGACGGCGCGGAGGTCGGGTCCCGATCCCAGGCCGCCGGCGGCGTCGAGCCATGCGTAGAAGGGCTCGGCCGTCCCGCGCGCGGCGTTGTGGGCCGTCTGCGTCAGCGATGCCGTGGATGGGTTGGCCCGCAGCGCCGTGGGGAGGCAGGCGTTGGCCGGGTTGAACACCGTGGCCAGGGTGTGCTGGAAGGCGACCGTGGGGGGCGAGCGGGACAGGTGCGCTGAGAGGGCGGTGTGGCGGACTTGGCCTGGGGGTTGCTCGCGGAAGATGAAGTTTGTCATTGCGTAGCGGAGGATGCGGGCTTTTGAAGGGGTTGTGTTGCGTGTCAGCGAGGCATTATCAGAAGGGATATGTGGGCATCGTGGCGCTCTCTGGGTAGGTGCGCACTCAATCTGTCCTCGTCGAGGCCGGTTGCTTCTGAGAGCTCTGCAAACGTGGCGGAGCCGTCGATGGGCACGAGGCTGGCTATGTCGAACTCGGCGATGACGCCGAGGCTGGAGGCGTCGTGAACCTGGACAAGCAATTAACTATTTGATTGCAACTCATGCTTCTGGATAATACTCACAGAAAGCCCCACGAGCCCCAAGGTCTGACGCGGGCCCAAGGCGAGGGCTTCAAGTTCCCTCGCTGCTTCTGCCAGCTTTAGTGCTGACTCCCCATCGATCACAGGTTCTGTTCCGGCAGATGAGATGTCGTGGATCGACGGGGTCGCTTGACCTCTGTCTTGCAAGTGTTGTGTTATCTTCTGAGTGAGGCGGGAGACTTCCTCGCCCAGCTCTGTGAGGTTCCGGCCAGACATCCTGGAATAGAATTCGAAGTTGGTGTCCGCCTGGAAATGTTGTCATTGCTGGATGCATGATCAGAACGGTGATTCCAAACTCTTATACAATGTCACTGGATGGTTGCAGTCCCGCATGCACTTAGTAAGCTGTGATCTTGAGATGGTGTAGACCATCGACCAGTCATGCTACATGTCTATTTGCCCGGCCTCATTTCCGCGGGGACACTGTTGCGAACGAATTGGTGTTTATGGCTCCTTAAAAACACCCCTCTCTAACCCCGAAACGCTCCTTCCGCACCACACTTTCTAGAAGCCGGGCAAAATTGGTATTGTCCCCATAGCATGCGGAGGGCCGTATAGTATCGATTTTGGGGAACCGCACCCGGCTTCTAGTTACTGATCTCAATGCAGAGTAATAGGACAATTGTTTTGTTCACAAAACGCAGACTGACCACCAGCTCAGAGTATAAAGCACTCACCCGGGATGCTTCGGCAGAGACCAAGAGCCATGGTAACTTCTTTGTGTTTAAGAGAATAACTTTCTATCAAGACAAAGTCAATCATAAGCATTAAACAATGCGATTGTCGTCAGCGTCCAGCATTATGGTATCCTGAGGACTTCACTCTATAAAATAGTCATGAGCGAGTTCGTAGTTTCTACCCGGCTTGACCGAATCACTCACCACCATCCACTCCAACATCCAATCAACTTCCTCACCAATCACAGAACCCAACAGCAGCATTGAGACCAAACACAACGATTACCGCAGGTGAGTTGATCGATTTCAACATGACTAACCCTGTAGACCACGAAGCCGTCCAGGCAGCTCAAGCACTGTGCATGCTTGCGATGGACACCCGCCAGCAAAGCGTGGACACCAACGAGACACAAGACGAAGACTGCATCATGACGCATGCTCGCCCAGTGGTCCACAGCCCGGGTGTGCAGCAGAACATTGTCCCAGACGAGACAGAGGACGAAGACTGTATCATCACGCATGCTCGCCCGGTGGTCCACCGCCATCACCCGTACCGGAGGCCTGAGCCACAGCGAGTCGGTGTCCCGGCCGCCCGCTCCGGGATGAGCCCCAGCGCAGAGGCTGAGCGGATGGCAAGAGAACGCGAGTACCTACACAGAGACAAGTGGAACGTCTTCCCGTTGGAACAGCACGAGATGCAGCCTGGCGCCCCAGTCCCCGAGGTTCGTAGAGTAGTCCGCAACGGAGAGGTTGTCCTGGAGAAAGGCCCCCTGCCGCACACGCAGCCCTCTGTTGTGCCGCGCCCGACCCCTGTTGAGCAGCCGATTCCTGCTCGCCGTCCTCTTCCTGGTCAGCAACCGCCTCCCGGTGTGCGGCCGTCTCCTTCACAACCGCCCACTCCCACTGAGGGTGATGCGTCCCCCGATGTAACTTATAGCTTCAGGGCGCTCGCACTCCAGGCTCTCCTCGCCTCGCCCGAAGGCCGATGGCTGTCCACGAGCGACATTGCCGACTACATTGAGGAGAATTATCCTCAATTCCGCGAGGAAGTAGCTAGTCGTCGCCTCAGGCGTGTTTTATCCAGCACCCTAAGCCTAGTTGCCGGGTTTCTAGAAAAGTCTGTTATGCGAGGCAACGCGAAGTCTGTGCTGTGGCGACTGCCTGCCTGGGCTCGCAAGGAGGTGGCCACGATGGCGTGGAATACCAAGCGGGGGTCTGCTCCTCCGCAGCCCTCTCACTCTGGGGCCCGGGGTCAGGCCCTCGTGAGCATGCCATACGCCCCCAAGTCGCTTATGCTCCAAGCGCTTCTCGCCGTCCCCGAAGGCCGGTGGACACATCTGACCGAATTGGTCGGCTACCTATTGACCCAGTACCCCCAGTTGCTCGGACTGGGCAGAAGAGGCTTCACGGATCAGATTAGTGCAGCCCTGAACCATAGTTCCGACCTCGTGGATAAGTGTGTACGACACAGGCACCGTGGTGGTGTCTTTTGGCGACTATCTCTGGGGGCTCGCGAGGAGGCGATCAGATTGGCATGGCCGGATAGATCAGTGCAAAATGCTACGCATTGAATGACTGAGTAGGCCTGCTGATCGGCATTGGGCTTTTCCTTCACATTCCTTCTTGCGCTTTGGGGTGGATCTAAACGGGTGCGGCAGCGAGTTTACTAACCTTTAACACACAGGTAGAATAGATTGATCGTTGATAATTTTATTTACTGGGAATTTCGCATATGGACTGTAACTGTGAATACAACAATGAACTCACCGAACTACCGAACTTCACCCTAAACTCCAGATTTAATCTTCAGCCTTCCAGTGATACTTTGCAGCAGCATGGTCTGGCGGAGGCCGCGCAATTCCCTTCTTGGCATACAAATTCTCCCTGTAAGTCCCGCCATCAACGGCATACCCGTCCCAGAACAGGCCCCGCCGACGCAGGACAGGCAGCAGCTTCTCGATGACGTCCTCAAAGGTCTCGGGCATCAGCGCGTACGCCAGGTTGAAGCCGTCCACGTCCGCCTCCCGCACCCACCTCTCCATCTCGTCGGCGACCTCCTCCGCCGTTCCCGCGACCGTGGCCCCGAGCCCGCCGACCTTGATGTGGTTGGCGACGGCGTGCTTGGTCCACTTGGGCACCCCGGGCACCGAATTGGACCACGACTCGACGGCCGACCGGATGGCGTTGGACTCGACGTGGCGCAGCTCCTCGTTGTCGCCGTACCTGGCCAGGTCGATGCCGGTCCACCCGCCGAACAGCGCCAGCGCGCCGTCCTCGGACCCGTAGCTCACAAGCTCCTTGTACTTTGCCGTCGCCTCCTCGGTCGTGTCCGCGATGATGGGGCACAGCATCGCCAGGAACTTGACGCCGGCCGGGTCGCGGCCAAAGTCGTCGCGCGCCATGGCCCGGATCTCGGCGACGTTCTTGGCCACCACCGAGGGGCTGTGCCCGGCGACAAAGATGGCCTCGGCGTGCCGCGCCGCGAACGTCTTGCCCGCCTTTGACGTGCCCGCCTGCATGATCACCGGGGTGCGCTGCGGCGACGGCTGGCAGATGTGCGGGCCCGGGACGGTGTAGTACTTGCCGACGTGGTCGATCGTCCGCACGAGCTTGGGGTCCGTGTAGATGCCCTTCTCCCTGTCCAGCTTGACTGCGTCGTCACGCCACGACGATTGCCTGGGTTTCGAGCGTCAGCCTTTGATTTGGTGCTCTCTTGGACCATTGCGAAGCCGACTCACCAAAGCTTGTACATGACCTCGACGTATTCCTCTGCAATCGCGTATCTCTCATCATGAACTGGTTGCTCGGTGTGTCCGAGGTTCCTCGCGGCTGAGTCCAGGTAGCCAGTCACGATATTCCAGCCGACCCTGCCTCCACTCAGATGGTCGACCGTACTCAGCCTCCGAGCCAGATGGTAAGGCTGTTCATAGGTCGTAGCCAGGGTGACACCAAAGCCGAGGTTCTTTGTCGCCGCCGCCATTACGGGGACGACTGCGAGTGGCTCATTGACAGGCCATTGTGCTCCAGACACTATAGCCGGGTCGGGATTCCGGGGGCCCTTGTATACATCATAGGAGCCCTTTGATATTCATAATCAGAATCATGATTTGTCGTACAAAGTTAAGGTACTTACAAGCACATCGGCAATGAACATGCCATGGAAATGGCCCTTCTCCAGCAGCTGGGCCAGCTCGACCCAGTGCTTGATGTTGTTGAAGTCCGAGGACCGGTCCCGGGGATGCCTCCAAAGGCCAGGGGACTGATGGCCACTGCAGGACTCGACAAAAGCATTGATGATCAGCTGCTTCTTGGCGCCCGGGCCGGAGCCCGATGCCCCATTGCTCGATTGAGGGGTGGATGATGCCATTGTTCCAAAAGTTTCCTGAGAAGATAAGGGCAAGACGGAACGACGAGCTGGGCCAGGTGTGCCTCAGCTTTGGGCAGAAACTCGAGCCCTTTTCATCACGACGAAATCAAGTCGCTAGACACCCCGTACTCAAGCTACCCCACGTGCGTTGTACCGATCGTGCTCCGCATGCGCAGCTACTCGCAGGATTGCGGTGGTGAAAAAGGTTGTTGATCCATGGGATCGCCCGCATGAGCTGCATGGCAACAGGGCCAGCCGCTTTCGCGTCATCGAGCCTAATGAGTCGCAATGGATGTCTCCCCCATCCCGCCCACCCAGTTTCACTCTGTCGTCGCACCTATCCGCGCCCCGCCGACCCAGCAGCCCGGTAATCTGTTATTTGCTTTTTTCTTTCGTTTCTTGGGAGAGAATGTTTCATGGCGCCCAGTGGCTCCTCACTAGCCATAACGCCGGACTGTGGTTATACTGAGATGCCATGTTGGGCATAATGACACCATCGCCGCTGCGAACCCGGCAGCGTGGGGCCGCAAACTTACGTCGCGCACATGTTTGGCAGATTGGCTGTCCATTGGGATAATTCTTGTCCCCGATAAGAACCGGAGACTTGATGTTCCCTTTAAATATTCGTGACATCCGTCTGGTTGCAACGGTGTCTGTGCCGATCGTCACTGTCACCCTCTCAGCGTCAAGGCTGCATTTTCCACCATGACTTCGATATTCTCTCGCGCCGCGGCGAGTGGCACTATTGAGCCTCCTCTGCCGCAGGCTGTTGGATATGTGGTCGTCGTGCTCATCGGCTTCCTCATTGCCTTTATCATGATATTTGTCACCTACCTGCTCAAGAGGACAGTGGGTGAGGACAATAGGACGACAGAAATGTTCATGACTGCGAACCGCCGGGTTGGCACCGGGTTGACAGCCTCAGCGGTCATATCAAGCTGGCTGTGGAGTACGGCGATGCTGGGGAGTACCCTCGTAGGATACAACTACGGAATTGCGGGTCCTTTCTGGTTTGCTGCTGGGTGAGTTTGAGCCCGCCTTGAAGTATCATTCGTCCACGATGCTGACTAGGAGACATAGATGTTCCCCCATGATCGTCTTTTTTGCAGTATTGGGCATCGCATGCAAGATGCGAATTCCAGAGGCTCACACGCTCTTGGAAATCGTCAGAATAAGATACGGCAACGTTGCGCACATAGTCTGGATCGCACTTTGTCTCATCAACAACATCATTGCCGTTGCGAATATGTTGCTTGGAGCAAGCGCAGCCATATCAGCTTTGTGAGTTCCATGCTAGTCTCATATTGTACATGTGCCATCTAAACTGATGACAATTCAGGACCGGAATGCCAGTGGTAGCCGCTATCTTCTTGTTGCCGGCGAGTGTTGTTCTGTATACATTTGTCGGTGGCATCAAGGCCACTTTCTTGACAGATTATTTCCACACTTTCATCATCACCATTATAATCTGCTACTTCACCATTGCGACATTTTCAGTCCCTGAGATATCCTCCCCAGGCCATCTCTTTGATCTCGTCGTCAAGGCAGGACAGGCTCATCCTGTCGCAGGAAATCATAACGGGTCTTACCTAACAATGGCAAGCAAAGATGTAAGTATCTGCAGTCTTGTCTGTGTTCGCGGAACTTCAAGCTGACATGTACGCCATCAAGGCAATTCTTTTCGGCATTATCCACATCCTCGCCAATTTTGGTCTGGTCATCATGGACACCGGCTTCTTCACAAAAGCCTTCAGCGCGGCGCCACAGGCCGTAGTCCCAGGATACATCATCGGCGGTATCGCCTACTTTGCCATCCCCTGGTGTCTGGGCACACTGATGTCCCTCTCCGCTCTCGGCCTCGAGGCAATCCAGTCCCCCCGATTCCCAACGTACCCAGATCGTATGTCAGCGGTCGAAATTTCCAACGGCCTTGTCCTCCCGTACGCGGCCGTCGCCATAGCAGGAAAAGGAGGCGCCGCCGCAGTGCTGCTCATCACATTCATGGCAGTCACCTCAACCATCTCGGCCCAGGTCATCGCCGTCTCGAGCATCATCACCTTCGACATCTACCGGCAGTACCTCAACCGCGGCGCGACGGACCGCGACGTCATCCGCTGGAGCCACGTCGGCGTCGTCATCTTCGGCGTCTTCTCCGCCGCCTTCTCGACCGCCCTGTACTACGGCAGCGTCGACCTCGGCTGGACGCTGTACATGCTGGGCGTGCTCACCTGCCCGGGCATCTTCCCCACCACCTTCACCATCCTCTGGAGGAAGCAGTCCAAGGCCGCCGCCACCGTCTCGCCCCTGCTGGGCCTCGCCACGGGGCTCGCCGTCTGGCTGGGCTCGGCGCAGGCGCTCTACGGCGAGATCTCCATCGCAGCCACGGGTGCGACCCTGCCTTGTGTTTACGGCACCACGGCCTCGGCGCTGAGCCCTGCGCTGTATTCTGTCGTGATCTCCCTCGTGCGTCCGGCCAAATACGACTGGGCTGAGTTCCGGAAGGAAAGGCTTCTCTTTGACAATCACAGCACCACCCGGGGTCAGAACCCGAGGGTGCCCGAGTCCCACGTGGAGGTCACATCGTCATATACCGATGATCGGGCGAGCCTCAAGCACTGGGGCGTCATCGCGAGTGCCTGGGCCCTCGCTACCTTCTTTGGCCACTGGGTCTTGTGGCCGCTGCCGATGTACGCGGCCAAGTACATCTTCAGCCGCCAGTTCTTCGCCGCCTGGGTGGTCATATCCATCATCTGGGTCTGGGGAACAATGCTTGTTGCTGGCTTCTTCCCCATTATAGACGGCAGGAAACAAATATCCCTCGTATTCAAAGGCTTCAGGCTTGGAAAAGAAAAGACTGCCACGCCTGTGGAGTCTTCCAGCAGCCGGGAGGGTACTATCTCCGAGGTAAAGAAAACCGAGGATGGAGTTGAGTTGAAGTCGTGAAATAGAAGCAGTTTGTTTGATGGATTACATTGGTGGATTTGCCTGCAGTCTGCTTCCACGGTGTGCCGTTATACGTATTTGTTTTGGGCTAGACTTGGAGCCGTTTTGGATGGATACCCTTTCGATCGTGAGCACAGCGAAAAGATTACAGTAAACGCAGACTAAAAAGAAGAGCAAAAGGAATATTCAGTTCAATAATTGTAAAGCAGCACGCTCTTGGCTCTCCCGCAGTGGAACTATTTCCAATAGGATAGGCTCGTAGGGAATAATCTCCTCTGGGATAGGATTCAGAAATGAGCCTCTATTGGTATTTCCCTTGAAGAATGTGTGTCCACAGAATCAAGACAGAAACTCATATAGCCCGTGGTCGCCGTCGAGGATGGAGATTTCCTTCTGTTGCACTTATCTAGCACTTTTCGCACACCTGGTTAGTTCATGATTGGATCAACGTAGGGCATCTCTAGACTTCCAGGTACTTTGGGACTGCGCTCTCAGCTCTTAGAATGTTGATTGAAAAGAAACGCAAGAAACATTTTGACGTCCAATATCTCTTATTACAACTCATTCTGTCCCCAGACAGATTTGAATTTCGCTCTTGTGAAAGCAAAAGCTTTTGACACAACAAGCTGGGTAGTTTTGAGAGCTCCCGAAATTGCCGCGTTGTGCCTTTAAGTCGGTTAGAGCCTATGTGAGAGGACGTCACTAAGACACGTCTTGTTCCACAAGTTTCGGACGCTATTGATGCTTTGCGTAAGAGGTCATCTCATAGGAGGGTATCCCAGCCTGAGGGTCGTCAGGTTGGAGAGACTAGGAACGTAGCAGCGGTCGGACACTTTGTCTGACAAAGCTGAACAATGTCTGCCCGATGATGTCAAGACTGTTGAGTCGACGTTTCGATCCAGATATCGAGTCGATACAAGCCGTAGGCTGATTAGTCCAGCCTCCAATACACGTCACCAAACAGGTGGATGCCATAGCCGGGTCTCTTTGGGACCATGCCGAAAGCCCCAATGGACTACAAGTGTTGGATCATCGAGAGACCGCCAAGGAACCGCGTACCTGCCAATCTTGGAATGTACCTAGGTACTTTGGTACCTAGTGTGCGCTGTCGCGCCTGCCCAAGTAAATAAGTAGGAAGGGACGGAGTGCTGTTCCCATTTCTTGACCTCATGGCTGCCTGCGCTGTTTCGACGTCCTCGACTTTTGCCTTCCGGGCCGACCTACCTCCAAGACAAAAATCTCCACATCTACTGAACATCTCTGGCCATCCAAGAATCCGACTTGCCATCTATGCTCTCTCTGTATCTCCCACGCACTCTCTCTGGACCTCATCTCAACCAGCCTCGACTTCCCTGTGACTCTATCTCCTCTGGGAAACATTACCTTGACCCTCCCGATGGCGTGCCTATTCTGCCGACTCGGAGCCTGGGATCCTGCCATGGTCGCCGCGCAAGCGATCCGAGGCATCGCTTTAGCCGTCTCGACCTCACGTTCCTACTCTGCCTGTGTTGCTGCTACCACCTCCGCTGAGTTCGAGGCTCTACGCTGCGTCGATATTCTTTGACGCCGAGATTCCGTCTTTGACCCCTACCCGCGCCGCCGTTACCGAAATGTTGTGGAAGTTGTCTCTGACGCAATCAGGGCTGCTGATGCTACGGCCTATGATGAGCCCTACGGTTGGCCGTGGGCCTCGGACGACGACGAAGTGCACTCTTCTGCATCGTCGACACAGAAAACAACCTCGACGTCTTCCTCCAGCGGTCCACCGTCTCAGCCTCCATCATGATGAATCCTGGCGGTGATCCAGGTACGCGCTCCTTACCCAGCTGAACCATTGATTCTGTCGAGCTAATTTGATGTGGTCAGACTAGTCATCTCGCATTTACCTTGCCATCACATCGACGAACTCTGAGAGGTGTAGTTCCACCGCGAACTTGCCAGTCCAACCTTTCCTTGACACATTCTCCTCACGAGCGCCTCTACAACACCTGATCCACATCAGCTCCGATACATCAACCACCTACACCTGCTCATAATACATGCCGGCTCTGCTTCTACACCAGCTCATCCTCACCAGCTCATCATCTATGCCAGCTCTCCCTTTTCACCCACTCGTCATCCACACCGTCCACTCTTCTGCCTCAACTCGTCTATAGCGACATTTCGTCTACACCGACCTGTCGTCCGTCTACTGTGCCTTGTCTTCGGCACCAAACATTTGGTCAGCACTCAATCCTACCTATGCAGCCAGTGTGGGTGTGTGTATGTGTGTGCCTTTCTATAATGTGAGATCTTCACCGCCTCTTTGCATGTCTGCAAGGCTCAGTGACTCAAAGTTCATACTCTTCTACAATCTTTCTTCTTTTCTCTTGGTACAACCCAACAATCCCGCTACAATCGCATCAGAGAATACCCGGAACAGCCAACCTTGGTTCTAAGGGAGTTGAAATGATTGATCCTACCAGGTTTGTTGAAACTATATGAACTATCTCCGTTTCTGCAACTGACCTGGATTTGCCTGATATCAGCAAAAACCGAGCTGACGGAGGGACCGATCGCTTCGGGTCACCCATCCTCCATGAAGTGGTTCTGATCACCTTGAATAGAATTCATTCCGCGCCAAATAGGCCCATTCCCAGCCGCCTATTCCAAGCCGACGGCCTTGGATACAAAAGCAAGAACGACGTTGGCGTCTTCTCCCGGCCCGTTTGGAATCAGTTCAAAACATGGGCTGTCATCACGATCATCACCGAACTCCCTACCATCTAAGTACATCCCGAGATTGTTGGAGACTTCAGGAGAGTCAGCCATGGTCATACTGGCCGGGACAATCAAGACCGTTGTATTGTCTCCGGTTCTGAAATGCATTGTTGACAACTTGGCTGCTGGTGCAACCATTTGTCACTAGCTCACCGTGTTACAATGCACGCCAGAGTGAGAGCCATCCGTTTTGACCGGTGCGAATATCCGTTCTGTATTCTATTAGCTATCTAGATCATGTAAACTCTATGCCCCGTTCCTTAACAAACACATGACAAGCCGCTCATGACCTCGCCAGCGTGAAACTCGTGTCAAGCCCAGACGCAAGGAAGTAAATCGTCTGGAGCATCGGCGTCGCGACACCTTTCTCCCTCGCAAGCCTCACAGTGTTCCCAACGATGGCATCGACCTCCATATTCCTACCCGCCAGCGCATCAGCCAACATCGACGGCTGGATGCCCGGCAACGACCGGACGGACGCGCGCCCCAGCTGGAAGTCGACGAGCTCCGTGTTGATGTCCGCGTAGCCGCACGCCTGGGCGGTCGCCGCGATCTCCAGCATCACCCCCCTGATGAAGTCCTTGAAGCCGCCGGACTGGTTGGTGACGTCCAGCAGGGGCCTGTCCCGGGACCGGGTCAGCGCGCAGATCGAGTTCCACGACGCGTTGACGATGAGCTTCGACCAGCGCTCGGCCTGCACGTCGTCGTGCACCTTTGAGGATGCATTTGCGGCCGTCAGGAGGTCCGAGAAGGCCTTTGCCGCGGCCTTGTGTTGCTCTGGCGCGGATGCTGGGTATGTGCCGATGTGCAGCAGCTCGACCTCCTGGTGCTCGATGACGCCGGGCTCGATCTGGGTGGCCGGGAGGTAGACGACCGTGCTCAGGATTGGGGTCTCCGGGAAAAGCTTTGCGAATGACCCCTCGGTGTCTATGCCGTTCTGGATGAGGACTATGGTCGTCGTGCCGGATGCCACAGCCGGCTTGATGAGCTCTGCCGTCGACGGCGTGGTGTTGAGAGCCTTGCTAGTCACGATGACATAGTCGAACGGATTTCCTGCACTGGCTTGAACTGCTTCCGTGACGTTCCTAGCAACTCTTGGCCTGACATTGAGCCCTTTGCCCCAGAGAGTCGAGTTCACGATGAATCCGTTCTTGGTGACGGCTTCGTAGTTGGACCGACATGTTACGGTGATGTTGGCGGCTGGCACTGCGCGAGACAGGATGTATGAGTACACACCACCGATGCTGCCAGCACCGAAGATGAGGACTTTCGGTGCCATCTTACACAGAATATCGATGGTTCGTTCAATGGCAGAATTGGTAGAAGCGTGAGGGGGATGGATGCCCCCGGATGACCGCCTCTGGACCGGATAAGAGGCCCACTAACAGTTTCCTGCATGCCCTCGGCCAAGCACTGTTAGTCTATCCCCACCGACACCGGAAGGCATCCAACCACATTCCATCTCAGGTTAAACGCTTAGACTTCCAACTGCTCCGCTTACTTCGCTCCACATTTTTGTACCAAGCCTTTGTAAAAAAAAAAAAAAAAAAAAAAAAAAAAAACCACAAATCAGGGTGACTCTATCAACCTGCAATTAACTGACAAAGTCAGAAGAGTGCGGAGAATTAGACCCATGAGTATACACAGTTATATCCCAACCAGTGGCACATTATCCAGCCGTCTCAAACAGCCTGGCACGCGTACTGCGCCCATCAAATATTGGTGGCGCTCTGAGAGCACGAAGATGGGTTGGGCTAGGCCTCAGAAGTCGCGACCTGCCGGGGACATGATCTACCTCCTCTTCATGTGCATGGTACGCCGTGGGGTAGTCAACGTCCACACGCCTATCGACCTGTATTGAGCCCACAGGGTATTTTTCATTGCTACTTGATGCACCACGCCGGGCATCACTAGTCACTAGGCACCTGGTGCTGCCGTTGTAACCATTGGCATGGAACCAGCCCTCGCCTTGAAAATACGGATCGACTGGTGCAGTCTGCCATGGCCCGGTCGGCGAGAATGGATTCTTGTTCCCCCGTTTCGACTTGAACCTCGGAGTGCATGCGGTGGCCTTGGAGGCAATACGTCTCCAAAGTCTCGAGGGGTTCAGAGCTCCATAGCCAGTTGCACAGCAGCAGAAAATGCCGATCAAAGAGTGTATTGCCCCCCAAACCCCAAGCGAGGCGGTCACGTCTGGAGGTGCAATCGTCAGCCACGTCATCATCTTTTGTAACGCATTCCCGGCACCCATGTCATCAGGACATTGATCGTCCTATGCCAGGATGGGCTGTTACTTACGGAGCGGATCAGGATTGTAGGCGAGGCCAATCTTGATGAATCCAAAGATCCCACCACTGAAGGAGGGTTAGCCGGTGCGGCAACCATGGTACCATATATGGAACAGTCTGGGACAGAGAGATCATCATCAAGTACTTACAGGCTGCCCAGGCCGAAAAGGAAACGCAGCTTCCACTTAGCGTTTGTCTTTAACTGCATGGGCTGAATCATCACCATGGCGAGCGCTACGAGCCCGAAATCGATAAGTGAGCTCGGGGGCTCCGTGGCTAAGAGCGTCATCGTCCAAGGCATGCACTCCCCAGGAGCCGACCAGTCCCAGGATTTGTTCAGAGGCCGGCATTGAAGTAGTTGCATGAAGACCAGAGTAAGGCATGCCGCGCACTGAGCTGCAGCTAGAATGTACACCCAGCGTCTGTACGTTTTGTTCACGCCGAAGATGCGACGATATAACGCGCAAACGCTGAGTTTGGCGAATGTCTGATCCAGCATTGTTGTAATTGTTGTGGCAAGCATCATCTGAGATTTTGTAAAGCTTAGCGGGGAAGCTTTCAGGCAGAAGGTATGGCTCAAGAAGACTCTTGTACGAACCTTGAAAATCTTTTCGAAGTTTTGTGGGTCAATAGTCGGGTCAACCCTGCGACCATCGATGACTACGAGGCCTGGTGATAACTACATATAAGCTGACCGACCAAGAACATGCTCCGTAATGATTTAAACGGAAAGGCCATTTGGCAGATGGGGTGTCCTACAGTCGAGCATGAAACCGACCCGGGCGAGAGACAGCAATACTGCCACCAGGGCAAACCAGTCTTCTGCGCCGGGTCTGCGGTTGGACCGACGAGTGGCCACGAAGCGAAGGATAAGTGCTGCAACACTGCTCAAGGCGCAGAATATGAGCACGACGAAATATGCGCCTTGGTCTGCGATATGGAAAACTCTGAATTCCATGTCGCGCCCTTGTAGATTTGTACCATCAGTGGTAAACTGGGAATAAGTTACGGTCATGAAACTAGTTCGGGAAGAACAAGATATGAGAGACGGGAAATCAACAGCCTACGGAGGGGTATTTGAGATAAAATCCTAATTGAAACAGACGAAAAATGGACGAGGAGGGGCTTGATCCTAGAATAGTAATGTGACAGTATGTAGGTAACAGTAAGCCGCATGACCTCCTCCTGTTGTTTGGTAGCACGAAGCAGCGGACAGCCCGAAATTGTCAGCCGGCACGTCATTGGCAGCCACTTGTGTGGGCGATCTCCCATCCAACCGTTGAACGGTTCATGCTCAGCCAATCGTAAGGCAATCGAGGGAGGGACCTGGGCTTGCGAGGTGTGATAAAGCCTAGCGGGTGTTTTTACGGCCCCCAAATATCCTCCGTATTGGTGCGATACACAGAATCTTTCCCGTCATCAGCGCACAAGCTGAAGTTCCATACGTCCGTCGAGACTCCAGGCCAATGAGCCCCAAATGGGCTTTCTACACCGGATAGGTAGCCTGATGCCCATGTGTCGCCTCTTGGAACCGCAGTGTCAACTAAAAACGACGGGTTAATATTTACACACACTTTTGAAATTCATGAATGTGAATTGAATGTAATCCTTCGCATACGACAGTAAGATTCCTGCCCAACAATCACGAGTTGGGTAGCTGAATGTGGTGTGGCACGGATGGTGGCGCCCGCATGTGATGGCGGTATTGGGTTCTAAAATGCCAGAGACTGCTTGCGAGGACACCGAAGGGGTTTTATATTGTATTGCCATCGTTGCGATAAGTAGTAGCCTCAGAAACCGCCTCTTCTGTGGAATTAGAGTCCAGTTTCATAATGTGAACGCAGTTAGTTGTAAGCAAGTCTCCCGTCACACTGTGCCTCCATTCCATTACATGAAGGTCTTCTTGTCTTTTCAAGTTGTTATTTCTTTGAAGGAAACCTTTATGAGATAGGTAAACATGTGTTCGTGCTGATGAGTCTACAGACTTTGCTTATGCCATACCTGGGCATGACCGGCCTTCTGAGAATGAGATATCCACATGCTAATACGCACATGGGTTATCCTGAAATTCTCGCCAGAGCGCAGTTCCATGATTGAAACTTTTTACGGGACAGACTGTCACGACAATGCCGGACTAAATGCGACAACATCGAAGAAGCAGGAAAATTCATTCCATTGGGCGACAGCGCGCCCGGCTTGCGACACGGCCCGAGCTGAGGATGGGTGGGAAGCAGGGCTTAGAGTGCACGGGGTAATCATGGATGGAACGAGCTCGTTGCATGTCCATTTTTCTGTCATGAAGAGTAGCCCTTGTAGGAGACGCTCAAAACACCGGGCTCGATCACCAACCTAGACCCACCGCATCCTTTTCAAGTACCAAGCGAAGAGTATTCAATTCTATTCAAGGTGCCTGTCTCTCAAGGAAGAGAATCAGCTAAACATACAGGCGCCAAGGCAGTGTTACTGACGCTAAGCACTGGAAGGCACACATGGCCAGTGACTCATCCGGCGAGGACCACCGTGGGGATGCCAAGATCAGACACAAGGTGAGGAGTACATTAACGCATGGGCAAATGTTCAAATTATTCGTTTTCTAGATGTATTATAGAATTTCTACTTTTCGACACTGCATCACCTTTCACATCTCCTCACGGAGGGGGCGATGTCTGCGTCTAAGCACCAGCCACGCCGTCAGTGAACAGCATGCCGGCAACGCTGGCCGAGGTCAGCGTCGCCAGGACCCCGGAGAACAGGGCGGACAGCGCGACCTTGGAGACGTCGCCAGCCCGGCCCGGGGCGATCTGCGACAGGACACCGATCTGAGTTCCGAGGGAGCCAATGTTTCCGAAGCCCTGTTGGCGAGCAAAAGGGTCAGCAGCCAGACACACACACACACACGCCTCCCGGGGGGGTTTCATTGTTTTCAACTTACGCAGCAGGCATAGGTCGCGATGAGCTTCGAGCGGTCTGCCATGTCGATGAAGGGCTTCTCGCTGATGAGGTTCTTGAAGGCGACGAACTCGTTGGTGATGATCTTCATGCCGATGAGCTGGGCGACGTTGTAGACGTCCTTGACGGGGACGCCGAGCAGCCAGGCGACGGGCCAGAGGATGTAGCCGAGGATGAGCTGGAGGGTCAGCGGGGGGCCGTCGATGCTCCAGTAGCGGCCCCACCAGGAGAGGAAGCCGTTGATGAGGGCGACGAAGGCGATGATGCACAGCAGGGTGGCGATGATCATGCCTGCGATCTTGATGCCCAGCCAGGCGCCGTTGGCGAAGGCGTGCAGCGAGTTGGAGGCCTTGTGCTCCTGGTCCTCGGGGACGACGACGCGGCCCGAGGTGAGCGTCTCCTCGATCTCCGGGTAGCGCATCTTGGACACGGCGAGCGAGGCCGGGATGGACATGATGCAGGAGGACACGAGGGCCTGGGCGTTGAGGCCCAGCCCGATGTAGGCGACCAGCACGGAGCCGGCGATGGTGGCGAAGCCGCAGGTCATGACCTGGTGGATCTCGGCGAGGGTCAGGTGCGGCACGAAGGGCCTGATCAGCATGGCGCTCTCGCCCTGGCCGATGAAGGGGGTGGCGGCGGCGACGACGGCCTCGGCGCCCGACACGCGCAGGGTCCAGAAGAAGAAGGTGGCGAACTTGCCGACGAACCACTGGATCAGCCCGACGTGGTACAGCAGCTGGACGAGGGCGACGAAGAAGATGATGGGCGGCACGACGCCCGTCAGGAACCACGTCAGCGCCGTCACCGTGTCGTCCGTCAGGAACTCGACGCCGTCGGCCGCGAAGCCCAGCAGCGTGCGCGCCATCTCGGAGATGAAGGCGAAGATGTCGTAGCCGGCCTGGGTGCGCAGCACGAAGACGGCGATGACGAACTGGGTCAGCATGCCGCCGATGACGGTGTGCCACGGGATCTTGCGCCAGTCGCGCGAGGTGGCCGTCAGAACGGCGATCATGACGACCAGGCCGAACAGCGAGACGGCCCGGTTGGCGCGCGTGTTCTCGCCCGTCTCGGCGGGGACCATGGAGCCGATGAGGAAGACGGCGACGGTGACGAGGGCGGCCAGCGGCTTGTGCAGCTTGGCCGGGATGGCCTCGTACCCGCGGTACAGCGTGTGGCGGTAGACGGCCTTTGTCGGGTTCATGACCACCGACACGGGCACCCAGAGCGTGATGATGCGGATGGTGATGGCGATGTACACCAGCGTCGGCTTGAGCCAGCCGAGGTTCCTGTCGTTGCGGTGGAAGACGAGGCCGTAGATCCACCAGCTGGTCGTCACATGATGCACTGGTCAGCACTGCATTCACACTCGCACACACACTCACACCAACAAGCACAACGGCAAGCAAGGACGAGCATCCAAGTGCTCATCATCGGGCGGTACTCACGCGGTCCAGACTGCCCAGATGGCAAGGTGGATGTAGGGCTTGAACTTCCTGTAAAACCACCGGAACGACCACTTCTTGGCCGGCCCGCCCTCGTCCTCGTCCTCGATGTTGCCGACGCGGCCGCTCTCCTCGTCCTCGTTGGACCCCATCTGGCGCACCTTGTAGTCAGGCGCCGAGGCCGGGTCCCCGGTGTACTTGTCGGAGCTCTTGGCAAAGACTATGTCGTCCTTCTCGTCCGGCACCGCCGTCTGGCCGTGGTGGACGTGCGGGTGGTGGTGCTCGTTGGAGATGTCCAGGGCCGGGTCGGGGTTGGCGTAGACGTCCTGCTGGGCCGAGCGGTTGTGGCCTGGCGCGCCCGGTGTTGCGACCACGGTGCTGCCGGCGCTCATGGTGGCGTCGTGGGAGCCGTCGGTTGACCCTGACGAGTCTTTGGAGCCCATGTTTGCGTCTTGTGGGAGAGAGAGGACGGCGTGTGAGGAGAACAAACAAAGTCTGTGAGCCGGGCAGAATCTTCAGGTTGAGCCGAAGTCTGTACCAAGGGCTGTACCACTCGACGGTCACACGTCTAAATCGGCCCCGCCCGCTGAGTTTGCACAGTAACCACCTGATCCTGATGACCGCAACCAGCCGTGCTAGATGCCGAGCCGGTCTTGTGCCTAGACGTGGGGGGAAGCGCGAGCGCGGATCCAAAGGAACGGCAGGTTCAGGGCATGCAGGAGCAACGGCATGGGCAGCAGGTGCATCCATCCCAGGGACGACCCCATCTTATTATAATAATGTCTTGCTGGCCAGCCAAAAGGAAAAGATGTGGGCAGCGGGGGCAGATTGGTCGCATGCCAAGGACTACATCGCCGCCCGCATGTAGGTTACCCTTGTCGGCTTTATCGAACCCAACTTGTCGGCTCCAAGGTGACCCCCCACCCCCGACCCAAGTACCGCGCCAGCCAGCTGGGGGGGCCGCGAGGGACACAATGCCACAGAAACAGAAAGCTTGGCCCGGGCCCCAGCAGGGAGGCCTGCGGTGCCAAGATGCCAAATTGAGTTTGTCGTCCGGCCTGTGGAGGAGGCCAGACTGGGCATCTCGATAAGGGCCCTGAGACGAACAGACAGAACGGACAGACGGCGTCAGATACGGGGCCATGAGATGACAGCAGGAGTCAGATAAGCGTGTCTTGTGAGAGGCTCGGATGTTTCATGCCGGCCAAACATCCTAACTGGTGTCTTTTGTTCGTTCCTCTATCTCTCTCTTGTCCTCGACTTCTCCCAAATCCTTCAAGCCCTCCCAAGGTTTGTCCAAGGGCTTGCCGAGGGAAGGAACTTTTCACGCAGATGACGCTTCTGAGCAGTCTATCAGCACTTTCTGGCCACTCGGTGTCGGATTCAGACGACTGTTGGCCGGCTCTGACCGTCCGACCTGCCCGACCCAACGTTGCACGGCTTTTAGCGGCTCTGTCAATCACTGCGACTCGAGCCGTGGTTGGCCAATCCGCCTGTCCGTATCTCGTCAAAAGGGGGTTAAATCGTCGCCGGCTGTCCCAGTTGGACCTGGAGAAATCCTTCTAGAAGGCGGTTCCTCTCAGCTTCTCCCGGGGCGGCCAGTGAAGTTGCCCAGGCCTCCCCGGGTGCGGACCAGTCTCGGCCCAGGAGCTACCAAGCAGGTGCGTCGCTGGTCTCACTGCGCATGCATGCGAGCCCTAGCCCTGCTGCGGTGCTGCAGCGATCCCTGCTTCCCCAGGCGTTGCCACTCGAGTCGCTTGTCCGCATCCGGAAGGCAGAAGAGACGAGGACTGAGCGCCAACGAGTCAAGGGTCGGGAGCAAATTTTCCAGTGATCGAACGGATGTCTCACTCGGATGCTGAGAGCAATCCGGAGTGTATATGGTTTAGTTCAGGGTTCACAATTAAATATTGGTGACAGCGTTGAGGGGATGCAAGCCAATGGTGGTACACGTCCGTACTGTGAACTCTTTCGCAAAGTGCTTGGGGATTTGAGTTTGATCACGCGCGGACAAAGGATCCAGTAGCGCGGTGCCCGCTCCCATTTGCTATCTACGACAGATATACCCATGCCTCCTAGGCTCCTTGCTGAAGCAATAGGCCGCTGGTAAATTCCGGGTCTTGGGCTCTCTTGGGCAGGTGAGCACGTGTAGGCGTCGCTCGAGAAACATTCGGGCCTCACGAGGACGACAGACCGGTTGGCCCTGGGCTGTCACTGTGCTTTAGGCGTGCTTCCGGCCGGGTGTGGTGGCACTCCCTGAAAGAGCCCGGCCAAGCTTCCCTCGCCCGCACCGAAACGGGCCTAAGGTGCCACGAGGGGGCGCAAACAGCCCGCGGTGACGCCGGAAGGGTTTGCCCTGCTCGCACAAATGAACCCCTCTCTCGGGAGTCGGCGAATCACCTATCTGCCTCGGCGGTTGTCCCAGGATGACCGCGCCCAGGATCATGATAAGCAGTGGCTCACTCGCTGATCACAGCCCCTGACATTTGATATCTAGGTTTGTGTCAAGGGATCGATCAATCAATTGAATGATTAATACGAGCATTGAATTGTAGATAAGAGCCGTTCTGTATTGGGTATCATATAATCACTTTATCGCCCTTCCCCGGCCCCATTCAAACCAGCCTCGAAAGCCACAAAACTCCCAGCATCACCAATCCAGTCCAAGGCATCAGTCCCTCCCTCCCGGGCGCACCACCGCTCGTCACTTCGCTCGCGCTGTCCACAGATCCGGTCTCAGCCGGAGCATACCCGTCCCGATACCCAAACACCTCGTACGGCGTCTCAAAGCCCTCGATGCCCAGCCCGCTCAGCCCGGAACAGCTTGTCGTTGCTGTGGCAGTCACCGTAAGCGACGTCGGAGTTGATGTATATACCATCCTCAGCTGGTCGGGGAGGTAGGTCAGGTACAGCGTCCTGGCCCTGCCCTCGTGGATGCCCGTTGCGGTGGCCGGCGCGCCGGGATCTTCAACGACTTCGCATCCGAGGCAGGGGGTTGGGTCGTAGTCGTCTCTCGGCCGCGGCTGGGCGGTGCGCTTGGCTGGGGCTTTTGTGGTGGCGGTGGTGCTCGTTTCCGCCGGCGCGGACCCGGTCGGCGCGCGGGACTCGCTGGCGTACTTCTCGTAGAGCCGCCCGAAGTTGGCGTAGAAGCAGAGCGGGTCCTCCTGCAGCATGCTGTACTCTTCCTCTGTGAAGAGGGCCCTGTAGTCGCATAGGTCCATCCATGAGGACATGTTGAGGTTCGGCATTGGCGTCGGAGCGGGAGCGACGGTGCTCACGTTTCGCGCTGCTGTCGGTGCCGTTGCTGCAGGGTCCGAATCCCCTGACGAGCTCTTCCCGCCAGCCGCGTCTGAGACGGTGTCCATGATCTGCTCGACGAGCTCCTCCGCCACATCTTTCATGTCGTCGCACGTGCTCTTGTTCCGCGCACACAGGCTGGTCGACGAGCTGGCCGTGCCGGTGCCGTATTGGTTTGGGGGCGATAAGGCGTCACCATCGTTGATGACAGGGGGTTGGTATGTGTTTGGGCCATCGTCGCCCTTCCCTATGCGTGGTATGTCTGAGCCCGACGTCCCTGAGCCTGCCTTTGGGTATCCTCCTGGTATAGTATTTGGGGTAGGTATGTCGTCGCCGGCACCACGCAAGCCTCCTGTCCCTCCGCCTTTAACGGGAGGTATCACTGCTCTTCTGAACATGGCTATGGTGGTGGTATCTGGATGCAGGGGGCAATATGGATGCCAGGACAGTAGTTGGTCACCGCTTGGAGGGGAATCGATGACAGTCTTCCAGGCAAATCTTCTTAGTCAAAGAGAGGATGCAAGAACCTTAAGTCATTGGAAGGCATTTGAGACAACCGAACTCGCGTTGTGCCCTGGAAGTTGCTGCCTTAGATATCCCCATTACATACTCCACCCCAGGATTTCAGGAAGGCGCATGGGCTTGGCGGAGCGAAAGGAAGCGCTGCGGCTGACAAACCCTTGTCGCGCATCAACATGGCTCGCGTTCTCGTTGGATGGTTGTCAGCAAGGAAATTGCACTCCGGATCCTACTGTACTAAAACGCCATGAGGCTGAAACAACTGCCGGTGAGCTTGAAAGAACAGCCGTGTAAGAAATGGCCGTGCAGACCAGAAATAGGTGGGTGGATGCTACAGCACGCTGGATCATCACATCGCTTATACGGAGACTACCTCGAATGGCTTTGGTAGTTGAGAGTCTAGAACTCAACATGTTGTCTTTCCAGACTCAATGACAAGTATTCGGTCAGAAACTTAAGCAAATAATCGAGTCTTCGTCTCCAAATTGATAAATGACCATGTGAGCCGAAGGGGGGAAGGGGGTTGCGAAATGGCCAACCGGAGGGAACAGCATGAAGAAGTCGACATAACAACTCCCTGAACCTAGTCGACTCCCATTAAACAGAAGATATTGATGGTTTTCACCACATGGGGACACCGGTATCTTTAAGCGAGGGCGCATCTCTGCCTCAATAGTGATGTCCATCGCGCCGCATCTGAGCAGCCAAGTTGTGGAAGCGCGGCTCTATAGTATGGCAAGGCATCCCAGATGCATCATCCTCTGTTTTTGTCTCGTTGAATGACTACCTCCATGACCTCGGCAATTCCACTGCTCTACGCACGATGGCTCGTCTGAGTGTGTTCGAACTAATGAGGCTCTCGACTGGCACTAGCATTGTGACGGCGTCGTGAGGGCCAAACAGTGCCACGCAATCGATACCTATCTCAAAGATAGCCCAGAGTCAGTGCATCTTCTTATCTCCTCTATAATAAAAACCAGGAATGCCGTCTGCTATTTCAGGTATTGCTGATGCAACATGTGATTCAATGCCAGATATAGATGTGGATCTGGTGATTCGTATCCCACGATATATCATAGTTTGAGTGGTATTCTCTCAGATCATTCCAAACTTGCTTCCGATAATCCCGATATGTGATGCTTCACTATGACTTGCTTGAAATGTGCAGTGGGGAGGACGACATCCTCGGTTCGATCGTCCAACACGAGCCCCCTAGTGTAATCGCTGTGTAGATAGGCCTCGGGCAGTCCAGGTGCTCGGGCATCCCCATCAAAAGGTCACTTGTGCTTGCTTAACATGCTCATATCGGCAACAGCTCTTAACATTATAAAGGCGGTTGGTTTCAGCATGGCAGATAGCCGGCGATGGCCTGACCTCGGTTCACATTTTTCAAGTTGACAGAACTCCGAAGATGCAAGTCTTGCCCCTTCAGATATCCCGTTGATATGTCAATATACGAGTGCTCAAACATGCGTTGCTCTCTATTCGTTGTGATTACCACCTCATGGGCCGCGGCCGTGGCGGCCCACTCTTCAAGTTCCGACGTTGGCCTTCACGCCGCAGCAGCTCCCGAGTGGACAATCGTCGAGAGCCACTGCTGGTCGTCAGTCTTGTCACATGCCTCTTATACGAGCTCGGATTACTGATAACGACAATAAACAGTGACACCAAGTACAACATCCGAGCACTAGACCACCACGCCGTGAACTGGGACACCGGCTGCGCAACCATCGAGAAGTGCCTGGCCGCCTGCGAGATCGAAGGGTTCTGCCTCGCCGGCCTCGAGTACGGCCACGAGTGCTGGTGCGGTAACGTCGTCCAGGGTGAGGTCCGTCCTGTGCCGGACAGCTACTGCAACCACCCGTGCTCCGGAGACCACGACGAAAATTGCGGGGGGTATGGCTTCATGGGGCTGTACATACGGAGAGGCTTCAAGTTCATCATCGAACCACCGAGATATTCCCATAGGTACCCTGACAGGCATGACTACGGACTGCCAGATGGTCTAGATTAGTGGGCTGATGGGTGAGTCCTGCCACACACACACACCTTGTATCTATCTGGAGGAAATGCTGATTATTACTGGCAGGGCTGGTCAAATAGCTGGGCTTGAGTTTTCACATTATGCAGCTACATAACACGACCTCAGATCTATAGTAAACCTACAAGCTCTTGTAAATGCTGTCAAACTGGCTCGCCGTCTCCTTGGACGCATCCCACTCGTAGATAAAGCTCAACACCCCCTTGTCCGCCGCCTTGTCCGGCACCTTGCCCTGCCCGCCCTCCCTAAACGCCTTGAAGGCGGCGTCCCTCTCCGCGGCCGCGGCCCCGTCGCCCAGCTGCATCTCCTTGCCGTTGGCAGCAGCCATCGCGACCAGCGCCTCGGCCCGCTCCTTCCTCAGCCTCTCGTACACCTTGAGGGCCTTGTTGATGCTCCCCGGGCTCGGGTCCGGCGCCCTGGGGAGCGCGGCGGCGACCGCGGCCGCGTCCTCGATGGCCTGCGCGGCGCCCTGGTTCAGGTGCGGCAGGGTGGGGTGGCAGGCGTCGCCGACCAGCGCCGCGGTGCCGTGGACCCAGGTCGGCAGCGGCTGGTGGACGCGGAGCTTCCACTCGCACACCTCGCCCTCGGGCACCATGTTGAGCATCTTCTGGATCACGGGGGCAAAGTCCGAGTAGACGGACAGCATCGACTCCTTGCTCCCCAGCGTCGTGTACGTCTCGTCCGGCGCGGCTGCGAAGTTGCTGTCCGGGTGGGCGGTGGAGATGTTGTAGATCGTCTTTGAGGACACGGGGTAGGCGATGATGTGTTTCCTCTCGCCGATCCACCTCGTGCTCTGGTCCGCGTCGATGAGCGCCAGCAGCTCCGGGTCCTTCTCCATGTCTTCTCTTTTCAGCATGATTCTGTACGCGGCCTGCCCCGAGTCTACCACCTTGGCGTCCACGCCCAGCTCCTGCAGCATGTCTACTCTTGTGCGCGACTTGACGCCGTCTGCGCCGAAGAGGACGTCGCAGGTGGCTGTGTACGGGTCACCGCCGTTCTTCCTGGGCGAGACAATAAATGTGGGCTTGGGCGAGAAGGTCTTGAACTCGGTGATGGGCGAGGCGAAGTGAAACTTGATTGCCGACTCCTTCTTGCACCCCTCGTATAGCTCCCCAGCCAGTGATGCTCGGTGGCCGACCATGTGTTTGTAGCTGTACGAATCCCCGATCCAGGTCATGTCGGAAAATGCGAGCTCTTCATCCGTAGGCCCCTCTGATTGAATGCCGAGTCAGCCCAGCGTCGGGGAGAGTCAATGGGTATATGTTGCTCACTTCGAATGCTAGCACCCTTCAAAGGAGTGGCATCTTTTGCGATAGGTTCCCAGACACCTAGCCTGTCTAATATTCTGGCCATGTTGGGGGCTAGCTGGATACCTGCCCCTACAAATCCAAGATCTGAGGCAGTTTCGTAGAGATCGATGTGCGTGAATCCCTCCTTGGCCAAGGCAAGCGCTGTTGCCAGGCCGCCCATGCCTATTGTGCTGTTAGAAACCCGTGAGCACGCTCGCTGAGTAGCTTCTGGAGTGGCAGCTTACCGGCGCCAATGATGGCGATGTGAAGGTCCCTGCTGACGCCCATGGTGGTGTAGATAGTGTTGCTTGCAAGCGATGTGGGTTTGAGTAGCTCGTAGATCCAAGGAAAGCCCGAGGAAACGTGGAAACTTGACCTGAGGTTCAGAGTATCTCTTAATGAATGTGATGTTTACAGAAACGTCGGCGATTCTTTGGGCCCCTCACGATGACGACGCCGACATCGTAAAATAAAATGTCCCTGCCGCTGCCGCTCCGCTACCCGATGTTCCCCACATCGGGTTCCGCTCCATTCCCTACGGAGACACTTGTGGCTAGCCCGGCGCCCAGGGTGAATGCTCTGCCGGCTCGGAGCTGCAAGACATCTCGGAGAAGCGACGGAGCGCCGAGCAGGCGGAAGCAAGAGTGGGATCTAGATTTTCGTTGTTGCAGCGTTCGCTCGCTATACTTCGACCCCTTTTCTAAGCATCTGAGGACTGCAGATTCATCGTAGATAACTTCTTTGGCATTATATCGGCCCTTGAATCTCGGCCCCGAACAGCGACGTGCAGCAGTCGCAAACTTCGGCAGCCTGGGCCGGGACCTCAAAGCGGGCCCCTGAGCCCGTCCTCCGACTCCCCTCCCATCCTAGCAGTCGGGGACTTTGCCTAGCTCCTGGATCCTGAGATCAGCTAAATTTGAAGGCCGATTTGCCCTGTATACACATCTTTCAAGAGCTTCGCAGGACACCCAAGACTCCTAGGTGCGAGTTTACGGACTGATGGAGGTTGCACGGCACAACGTTGTCCTTGCTGTATTATAGCAAGCAATGCATTCATATTCGTATTGACACTATTCTGCATGTACACAAGTTTTCGAAGCTTTGTTCCCGACGCATCACACGGTCTCCTCGAACTCACTGAATCAGCGACCCCGAACAGCTATTACACTGCCCGACCGCGAACCGCGTAAGAGACACCGAAACGGGCAGGGTCTGGGGCACACAGGTGGCATTCCCGCCCGCGTCCCTCGAGCAGCTCAGCGGGAACGTGGCCTCGTACAGCGCCAGGTGGCCCTGGCACGAGGCGCCCGGGACGAACAGCACGCGGCCCTGCTCGCGGCCCGGGCTGCTGTCGCCAAAGAAGTTGAGGTAGTTGTGGTTGGGCCCGCAGCCGACGTTGCCGCCGCCGACCTCCGCGAGGCCCAGCGCCCCGACCCCGGTCGCGGGCGTCTGCGGGTTCGACTGCGTGCACGTCGGGTAGGCGAAGTCGGCGATGGAGACGGAGATGGTGTCGGGCGGGCCGTAGCCTGGGGGCTGGAAGGCTGCCGAGGGCGCCGTGGGCGTGCAGTACGCCTGGCATGTGCACGTTGAGGGGGAACCGGCCTTGGATGGGTCGCAGAGCGTGTTGGTGGCGCTGTCGACGCACACCTTGGCACTGCTGTCGAAGTTGGCCTTGCCGCCGACGCAGTCGAGGTTGTTGGTGGAGTTGAACCAGGACAGGGAGGTGATGTCGAAAGTCTGCTTGAAATCGCTGGCTTTGCAGCCCGGATAGTAGGATACTGTCGACGCCGGCGCTGTGCTTGTGCTTGTGCTGCTGCTGAAGCCGCTGCTGCTGAAGCCGCTGCTGCTCTGGATGGCCGTGCTGATGCTGCTCGCGGGGGAACTAGAAGTGGAGAGGCTCCTGGCAGTGGATGAGGTCGGTGCTACAGCAGAAGGTGTGGTCGTCTTGAGACTCGATAATGCAACCTGGGCTTTCGAAGTGGTGGATACCTTGGAAGTCGTACTGGTCTTGACCGGATTTTGTTGCGGATTCGGTTGCGATCCGAGAATCGAACAGCCACGATCATAGTACGTGTCCGTGCTGCCCGAATCGGCGTCAAAGTTGTTCGCCAGGGCAACGCTGAAAAGCATGCACTCCTTCCCACCATAACCGAAGCTCAGACACTGTGAGCTGGCCAAGCAGCGCTTGGAGCAGTCCGCGAGGGTGGAGAACTTTCCGCTGTCATCGTAGTCGTAGTTGGACGCACCGCGGTCGTATCCCTTTTTCCCACAGATGTCGGCGGCGCGGCGGTCGAGATGGGCGGCATGGTGGGCGGCGTTGAGGACGCCGGCGAGAGCGGAGCTCGATAAGAACGAAAACAGAACAGCCTTGGTGAACATCGTCATGGTCTTCGTGAGAATTAATCTGTGGGAGAAACGAATGGATGTGAATGAGCAGAAAGAATGTATGCTCAAGGCTCAAAGGGTTGTATGTTGGAACGAGAAGCAGTCCTTCAGGGGAACTCATCGTAGGAGAGGAGGATTATATGTCTACTTCATCACCATTTCGAACCAGCTTCGGATCATGATCGGATGTGGGCGTGAGAACATGTTCTAGACCGACTTGAAGCGGTCGGACCCAGTGATATTCCAACCAAAATTCCTCGGTACATGAGGCTAGCTGAACGCCCTAGAGCAATACGATGAAGCCCCCGCCAGTTCGGAACAACCGTGCCGTGATACTAGTGCCTTTGTAAAGGCTATCAGCCGCACCTCAAGGGTCAAAGTCAGACGGGTTGTGGAGGGGCCTAGATTCGAGATCAGGAAACGGCAGACAACCGTGCGTCGAGGAATGTTCCTTTCAATAAAAATCACGGCCTTCACAAAGAGCCCCCTGAGCTACCTAACTAAACTGACTAGAATTCCTTAGTAAGAACCTTTAGGTTCGTCTTAGTAGCAGTGTTAAATTAAGCACCCCGGGCAATCCTGACTACCTTGAAGCTTATGCCTCCTTACTCTTAATCAAGTATGCTTGGATTCCTTTTGTAATACCAACAAGTTCAAGTTCTTCCTGGCGGGCCCGGCGGAGTCGGCAGAAGCATTGGTTGATTGTACTAGTATGGTGGGAGGGTATTTACGGGCCAAGTATGCTGGGATTGGCTTCGTCTTCCTCGTCATCCCCCACGGCTCTTTCCGGAATCTGCGGAGGCGGCGGAGGCGGCAGAGGCATCGGTTCCACGTATGGCGGAGGGTGTTCAGTGGCGCTATAATTGAAATGCGGCTGGGGGGCTGCCCCCTCTCTATCGAAGGTCCGATCTCGAAGGCGGGATACGATGGCGTCGCGTACCCCGCCGATTGTCTCGAGGTACTGATCATCGCATTCAACAAGGGCTTCAACCGGTCGTCTTTTATTTTCGGTCCAGGGATATAACCATAGCATCACGCGGATCCCTGTGTACTGGTTCCTCATTCCTTGTGCATTGACGAGCAAAAAGCGGCGAATGATGCTGATCGTGTGAATAGCGTTATAGAGTGAACTGTTGTTCTCCTCCACCCAAGGTTCGCGTGTATCTGGATCGAGCAATCTCCGATGGCCTGTATCTGGATCGATCTTCCTGCTTCTCACTGGCTCTTTTCGATCGTATCGGAAGTGGAGTTGTAATCGTAAGCGATTCCGTGGACGTATATTGAACAGATCAACGGCCCAGGGTTCTAAGGGACTGCTGAGATTTGGCGCTGGATTTCGTGGGTCCTGTGGAGTGTTAGTATACATTGAATTTCGTCAAACAAGGAGAAAGAACAAGAAAAGACCAATCTGCATTATGTGTTTTGGTGGTAGATAAAGTGGTCTTCCACTCACAGTAACTCCCATTAGCCACCAGCGAGGTGGCGTCCCGGTAAAGTTTAGAGTCAAGTGCCGGAATTCCATCTGTCCTAGTATGTTTGACAATATTCCAAAGCGATCGACACCATTCGTCCAATTACCAGCGCCTGTTCCCGGGCTAGGCATCATGAACCGGTCAAGTGCGCGATTATCAGCGTCGGAGGTTGGGCCTTCTCGCAGGGGCTCCTCCACGCCTAGATCGAGTTCAATGTGTCTGAATTGTCTTCGGAAGTTGTCTGATCGGTCGGTGAAAAAGGTTTCCGCAGCCAATATACCTTGATGTACCCAATCATCTGCTCCCATACGGTTTCTTGGGTGGGTGAACCGGAAGCTTTGGAAGAAAATTGCACCCGCTTCATAACCCACTTCTCTGGAGACGCGAAGCAGAGCAAGTGGGTCGTTAGGTAACTCTGCGAGCTCATCATCACCCGCGTAAGCCTCATATGTAATGGCTGCCATCTCTCTCTGCACAGTGGTAATGGATGCCTCCCATTGGATGGGCCTCTGGATCTGGTACCTATGATCAAGGACAAAACGCCTATGTTCCCTAGGAATATTGCGAAGATAGCGTCTAATTCGGGTCTCCGTGCCTTCTTCGTCCTGACGGACTCGGACAGCCGCAATCACAGTGAGAAGGCGCCTCGCCTCGGCGAAATAGAACTCGTAAATAGAGTTGCGTATCTCCGGTGGAAACAGAAAAATGCTGAAGACAAAGGGCGCCCCGTCCCGGCGCACGACGTGGTCCCTCACCGGGCTCTCCAAGGGGGTCGGGGTCGGGGTCGGGGATGTGACGGGTGGTCTCTCCGGTGTTCCGGTCTCCTCTACCCGGGGCCGACGAGGGCGATCTGCGCAGTCACAGGCGTCACCCTGTGCCGCCTGGATCTGCCGGGCGTGCCGCACGAGGCGGTCGAGCGCTTGCTGCAGCCCTCGATTGCTCGTGTCATCTCCCAGGTATCTTGCGTTGCACGGCACGTCGTCGGACGGGCACATGCACGGGTCGCACGCGCAATTTGGGTCTCGTTCAAGGCCTGCTGCGCCGGACGGTGATTGTATGCTCTCCCTAAGGTCATCTATGCCTGTGTTTGTGTCTTCGACGGTGGCACGAGCCGCCCTGCGGCCACAGCATGTCCCTGCCATGATTCTAGATCACGAAGAAAGGCTTGCCTATGGGCTGTGCACGTGAGGCATCAGGTGAGGCCAGATGTGAAAACGCTGCTGGTTGTGCTTGATTGGGGAACAAAGGTGTGGCCGTTTCGGGTAGAGTCTTCTTCATAAACACTGACGGCGCTCCTTCCACCTAACGGGCGTGAGGAGTATCGTTGGGGGCTGGTTGAGAATTTCCATGCCCGTGTCAAGACAGATTCGCAAAATTGAAGGATTTGTAGGTATTACTTATAATTTGACTACGTATTGAAAACGGCTACCGGTTGCGGTTGCCACTGTCGACTCGCGGAGGGTGGCGAACAAAGCACCGATGATGGGTTGCAATGGCTGTAATATTGCCGAAAACAACCATGAAAAGTTAGCCTGGTTAAGAGAATTACGGAAAGGCCATCTCAATCCGAATCCAATATAGTCAATTAAATCATTAATACTAGTATTTGATGGTGATTCATATCTGCCACACTGGGAGACCGCAGTCCACAATTTTCTACTCGACAACGACTTACCCGATTGACCATCCCACGGTCTCCAAATCTGAAATCGCGAAGCGCTTCTGGCTCTCATATCGTCTCTTTGTCTCCGATGACCACATTATCACTCCGCAGTTTATAGATACCGAGGTCGGTCAATGGGTGGCCAAGGATGGCCTGACCGTAAGTGAGCTCTTTACAGAGATCGCCGACTCGCATTGGCCAGACAGAGTCCGAGTGTGGCCTTGTTGATACCAGTCACTTCTGGACTTGGTGGCCCGCCCCTTCGCTGATGAAGAGGGTGGAACCCGTCCCATACCTCTTCGAAGATCACGAGCTCCGTGAGGGCAGTCGGTAAGTTCCCAAAAATAAGTCCACAGGCTGTAAATTGACATTAGAACAAGGACTCTGCCAGCATCTGTCACGGATAGGTATTTTCGCTCACCCGGTTGAATCCTGGCATTTATAGGCCGTGGGGATCCAAGTACTCCTCGCTGCTCGTACTCGATCTTCTTTAACGCAGGCAAGCTTCCCAAGAGTTCGCCAAAGGCGTCTGGACCCGGTTGGAAGTAATCATTGCGCCGGAGTTGCAATGTTGTCACTGCATTTACCTGTGGCAATCTGGGAAGTGACGCCGGGAAGTAATGGTGCGTCGGGGAGGAAAAATGCGCCAGGACCTCACGATTGCGACGCTCATCCAAGAGTAACCGGTGGTAGGTCGATAGCTTGGAGAGCGACCGGTAGGAGGTCGATATCTCCAAACTTAATCGCCCTGGGCCCCTTTTCCCATTTACTCATGGAGCCGAACAGCGTTCCAATGGCATAGGCGAAGGCCTTATCTTCATCGCGTGACTGACATCTCCGTGGCCGCCGCGGGTCCATCAGAGGATCGAATTGCACATCTAGCCTACAGCGAGATCAGTAAATCTCGAAACTTTGCAGTCGGAATGTCTAGTGAAGCGGAAGACAGGCATATATGCATAGTCGAGGACCATAATATACAGCCATGGGTGTCAAGTCGTACCAAATATGCTTGACCAGCTGCGTCCTATTTCTGACTACAATCACGTCGAACTGTGAAATTCGCGGTCCCGTCACGGCAAGCCGTTCGAAATGCTTCTCCTCGAAGAATGTTTGCCATTCCGAGCATACGGACGCGTATGCGGTCGTCCGGCGGTGTTCCAGGCGGCACGTATGGTAGAGTTCTTCGAAGATCAGATACCGGATGTCGTTTGGGAATCGATCAAAGAACATTGGCGATGCCATTGTGGCTTGTGTCACAGAAGGTGCAGAACTGTCCCTGCAGTGTTCAGGCTTCCGGCTGCGGTGCTTTCGGCTGAGTGGAACCTGTGAAAAGGGTCTATGTGGATGAGACTGTCGATGCGGGATGGGGAAGTGTTGTGCTTAAGCGAAGTGAACATCCATCATACCGATTCAGCTGGCGTGTAGGCCCCGTGTGTTTTCGTTGTGGTTTCCCTCGTTTCCTAAGGTGCCGGTGGTGACAGCCCGTCTGTTGGTTCGCCCGTCCACCGGGCAGGCGCTGTTGTCTCGGGCGGGGAAGTCGGATTTAAAATCTTCATATTGTCTAAACTTGTAGACCAGAACCAGTGTATTATACCTGAAAAGGACGGCCTGGGCGCAAGATCCTTACTACACGACACATCCAGTGAGATGCCAGTCCATATAAAGCACATGGTCAGTATACTCTGGGATGCCCTCCGGTGCAATACTATCCTGTCACGTTTTTGGCCGCTATACTATAAGGACAAAAGTGACGCCACTAATGCACAGTACACCCGGGTCCTTATGTACGCGACATATCCTGTGAGTACCGAATCAGAAACGTCTGCTGCATCGCAGGCAGTGGAGTTACATGTGCTAGGCGGGTTCGTTCCCGTCTGAAGGGCACAAGGGCGGGGAAGACAAGTAGCTTGCTTACACAGCTCCCGGCAGATGACTTGGCACGCCCTAATGTGACTAGATGGCTCCAGTGACGTGATGTATGAGACAAAACTAGGTAAGAGCTTCACGGCGGCTCATTCCCGCCCTGATTCCATCATCGGTCAACACCACGCCTTTCCATATCCTGACCACTGCCGCCTTGGACTCAGAGCTCTCGAGGTGGTTCGAGGATATTTGTAATCTCGTGAGCATCAAGTTCACTTCGGTGGCTGATCACTGCTGCAGGCCCATACTGTACTCGATCATAAAAAAGAGGAGATCCCCACCACACTGATGCCTCGGTTGTTCCTATCCTGGTGTCAAATAACCTATAGCACAACCGATTGAATAACAGTGAACACCATCGTTAGCCAAAGGCACGTACCGTCAATAATTCCTGTCCAAGTTAGCGACAAGCCACGATGGCCAATATCAAACCGTTCAAGATCGCGGTCCCGGATGCGGACATCGAGAAGCTCAAAACCAAGCTCTCCCTGGCAACATTCCCCCAAGATGTCGAAATGTCTGATTCCTGGTCGTATGGCACGCCGCTGAAGGACATCAAGCGGCTCGCAGCATACTGGCAGAACGGCTTCGACTGGCGCGCCGCAGAGGCGAAGCTCAACGAGCAGCTCTCCCAGTTCACCACGACCATCTCCGTCGACGGCTTCGACGACATCGACGTCCACTTCGTCCACCACAAATCGGAGCGCCCGGACAGCATCCCCCTGCTCTTCAGCCACGGCTGGCCGGGAAGCTTCTACGAGGCCGCCAAGCTCCTGCCGCACCTGACCAGCCCCCCGGGCCCGGGCCAGCCCTCCTTCCACGTCGTGGTGCCGTCCCTGCCCAACTTCGGCTTCTCGGGGAGGGTGGCCAAGCCCGGGTTCGGCCCGAGCCAGTACGCCGAGACGTGCCACAAGCTGATGCTGCAGCTCGGCTACGACAGGTACGTCACGCAGGGCGGCGACTGGGGCTTCATCATCACGCGCAGGATGGGCATCCAGTACCCGGCGCACGTGCTCGCGTCGCACCTCAACTTCGTGCGCGTGAGCAAGCCCCCCGGGCTGGCCGAGACCCCGGGGCAGTACCTCAAGCATGCGGTGCTGCCCTACAGCAGGGCCGAGAGGGAGGGGCTGGAGCGCAGCAGGTGGTTCCAGCAGGAGGGCTTCGGGTACAACCTGGAGCAGTCGACGCGGCCGCACACGCTCGGCTTCGGGCTGGCGGACTCGCCCGTGGCGCTGCTGGCGTGGGTGTACGAGAAGCTGCACGACTGGACCGACAGTTATGCGTGGACCGATGACGAGGTCCTCACGTGGATCAGCATCTACGCCTTCAGCACGGCCGGGCCCGACTCATCCGTGCGCATCTACTACGAGGCGAAGAAGAAGGAGGCGCTGTCGCCGGGCTACTCGTACTTTGCCAAGGTGCCGCTGGGGCTGAGCTACTTCCCGAAGGACCTGGTCGTCCCGCCTAACACGTGGGGGAGGACGCTGGGCCCCGTGGTGTTTGAGAAGAGGCACGAGGACGGCGGGCACTTTGCCGCGCACGAGAGGCCGGAGAAGCTCGCCGGTGACCTGAGGGCCATGTTCGGCAAGGGGGGAGGCGCGGAGGGTGTGGTGAAAAAGCTGAAGAGCCAGTCCAGGATCTGAAGTCCGGAAATTGAGCCATAGTATATTCAGAGCGCTAGCTTCCCTTGCTGTTTATGCGGTTGCCTACAAGGAATTACAAAATGCTTATTAAGTCCGTCGCGTGACTCCAACGTTCTATTGAAGCGTTTCGTGAGCCAGGCGGTCACACAGCCAGATTTGTGACATTTTTGAGTGGTAAATGCAGAAATTGGGGAAAATTGAAAGAGTGCCATCTAATTTCACTGTATCACATAACATCGCCCCCACCAACGAAAAGGCATTTTGGCCTTTGACTCTAACAGAGATCTATACCACCACCCCTTCTTCCAGACGCCGTAAAGAATGTATAGAAGTTGCCTTCTCTATGGTCTAATCCACATCCGCAGTTCCCAGGTACGTGTGCCGTCCCAACCGGTTCCACCGGTGTAACCTGCCCGCCCCCGTCGCCCGGACTGACGAGCAATTTGCCCCCCATTCGCCCCTCTACCGCCTGTTGGAACTGGACCCGTGCCCGGACGACGACGAGGAGGAGCCCTGGCCGTTCTTCGAGCCCGGGGTGTTGTAGACCCCGTAGACGACGTCCGTCTTGACCACCCCGATGGGGGACGAGTAGCGGAGGACGTCGTTCCAGTTGGTCTGGGAGCTAGAGCCGCCTGGAGGCGAGGACCTCGAGCTTCCGGAGCCGGACGAAGGTTGTTGGTGAGACATGTTTTGTGCTGGTAGTGGTGGAGTGTTCTCTGAGGGTGGATTGGGCTGGAGGTCTTGTCCTTTGAAGGATTCGGTGCGGTTTACGAGTTGTGGCAAGAGTGTGATTGATGGTTTGGCTTGGATACTGTTATCTTGTGCCCTAGAAAGAACTGTACCGTCGAGCAGGACGCCCCCCTCGGCTTTATACATTTCCAGACGACATCTCGAGAACAGTCAAGTCGTGGTATATTTTGAAAGTGCTAGTCTATATGCCGAGTACCAAAGCGTCGCGGGCGCACCAGACCTTCTCTCATCCTGAGGCTGACCCGTCAAATCCTACTTCTCACCTTAGCCCAGATCTAATTTCCCGTTAGTTAACATGGTAAATTCCCACATGGCATGCAGGGGTTGTGTTTGGCCGCATCCCAATTATTAATGATGATGGTGGTGGTGGTGTGGGTGAGCCCAATGCCGTAGGGCTGAGCAACTTTTTGTTTTCGATCCGCCAGGGTTATATCTGGTGGTGTGCGTCGTACAGACCGGCCAGTGGGATGTGAATCCTATGTACCAGTCCCCGCCCTACTGCACGTCAAGGCGTGGGTTTTGACAGGGGTGGTGGGCGAGGTTGTTTCTGGAATCTGGGCTGCTGACACAAGTGTTCCAGAATTTCCAGATCGGTTCCTCGCATAACAAGTCATAAGTGCAACTAGACCCCCTCGGACCGGGTCGGACTCTTGAGGACGAGACCGATTCGCACAGCACCAAAAAGACCAGTCAGCTTCCCCCCATGCCGTGTTGGTGCGCGTTGGTGCGGGCTGAGCCCCGACAGGCAACAACATAAACTCGGTCGGCAGGCCCACTCCTGGGACACCTGAGCGGGCGGGCTGTCGTCCTCTTTTTTTTTTTTTTTTCCCCAAAGTTCTTTTGCATTCCTGCCGTTTTATCTAGTAAGCGCGATATACGTTTGCCTGGCTCCCTTCCAGGCTCACCATTATCTCGATGTGGGACATTTTTTCCACTGCATTTGTTCCTTCACGGAAAACCACCAACGAGAGAGACAAGACGGGAGGAGGTGTTTAAGTCGGGCAGGAAGTGCGTCATTTGCAGTCTCCACCGGTCCTTTCGCACCATCGCGCCCGGATCCGGATATTTGGATCTTTCGCCTCAAGAGTTCCCATCTGACTCTCATTTCGGATCTCACCCGGCCGGCTGATAGTACTATCCAGTTGCTCCGTCCTGCCTTCTGGGCTCTCTTCCTTCCTTCCCGCCTCTCGCGCTCGATCTCGGGGTCGCCTTGTGTCCTATGCAGCCCCCAGGTTGCCCGTGTGACACCTCCCGAAACAAAAGTATCAGCTGGATTCTCACTCCCGGCAACTCCTTCAAGCCTCATCTGACGGGGTTATTTTTCATAATGATAATTGGGGAACCCGACAACGCGCACGCGCGTGCGCGCTTGCGCCCGCGCTTGGTTTTGCTTTTTCTTCTTCTGCTTATGCCTGGACGTCCATCCAGTCCATCCCGCCGCTCCCGCTCCCGCTCCCGCTCAGGTCGAACATGGCCTGCCAAAAGGTCTCGTCGAGCTCACCGGGCATCGGGAGCTGGCTGGGTATTGCGTAGTCCACATCCATCGCCTGCCCTCCTCCTCCTCCTTGCGCTGATGCATTGCCGCCGCCAGGCTCCGCCGTCCCAGCACCGCCACCACCACCACCACCGCTGGCCGCATCTTTGGCCGCCGCGTCGCCCGCAGCCTCGCTTCTGAACCGCGGGTCCTGAGGGTACGGGCCAGGATACCCCTCGCGCGTGCCGGGGCGCGTGCGCCCCAAGTACCAGCTCCGGATCCAGCGCACCTTGTCCCTGAACATGCCCAGCACGCTCCTCTCCCCGTCCACGTAGCGCCCCCGCCTCCCCAGCCCCGTGGCGAGGCGGTCCGCCTCGTCGAAGAACTCGGCCAGGCGCGCGCACACGCCCTCGAGGTTGAAGTGGTCGCGCGCCATCGACACGACCCAGTCCGGGTCGCGCTGGGCGTTGGGGGACGACGCCTCGTCGCCCAGGAAGAGCAGCCGGCTGGCCGTCACGATGACGAAGGAGATGTGCGCGCTGTGGAAGGGCATGCACACCAGGTTCTGCGGCGGGATCGCCATGTAGGCCGAGAAGAAGTCGCGCGCCGAGCTGAGGCACGCCCACAGCGCCGAGGTGCGCGCGTTGGGATCGCCCGACTCGCAGCCCGGCGCGGCCGACGTCGAGCGGATGTAGATGGCGGGCTCGTAGAGGCGGCATATCGTGCCGTGGTAGTGCGTCCATAACAGTGCTGTCGATCCATCAGCAAGGGGTCCAGGGGAGGCGGGAGATGGTGTTCGTGGGACAAGGGGTCTGCGAGAGGCGACAGCTTACAGTTGCACTCTACCTCAGGCGGTTGCTGCCGGACCAGGGTGTCTAGTTCCTTGCGTACGGCCGTGATTGCCATATGTACCGGCGCATAATTCACGTTGCGCGACGCGTCATCGTCGCCGTAAGGAACCAGGTCAGCAGCCCGGCCCAGGAGTTGCTGGATCTTGACCAGCGCGACCAGGAAGCTGTCCGAGTCGTACTCCCGGGCCTGGTCAATCTCGTCGCAGCACCTGACCAGGTACGAGCTGTATGTCATTGGGTTGTGGCGCCTGAAGAAGCCGGAGAGTCTGCGCAGGATACCAGTCAGTCCAGTCGGCACCCAGAGATGGGTGTGTCGTGTGTTCTCTTACAAGGATGTGACGTAAAAAGTGCCAAGGGCGGCGCGCATGTCGTCCAGCGTATGTTCTTTGTGCCAATACCTCTTCGTTCCCGTCTGGATCGCGGCATCCTTCAGCATGAGGGAGGAGGCTTTGCCGAAATCGAGGGGCCACCTGCTGAGGCCCAGATCGATCACAAGTGCAACAGCTAGTTGGACAAAGTTTGTTGCCTGGGAGTCGATAAAGAAGTGGAAGTCGCCCCTAAAAACACAGTCAGCCTCGGCGAAGCCATGACCTGGGCATCTGCGCTGCTTCTTACCATGCCATGTGGACCAGCAACGCCTGCAGTATCTCTAGTCTGCGCTCATTGTTGACCACAAGGTGCTCAGCAATGTACCGCCGAAACCATTCCTTGTAGTCAGACTGCATGTTCGGGGCTTGCGGCGCAGCCACCGAGACGATGGTGCGGAAAAGGAAGGGCGTCTTTTCGTAGAAGTCATAGGCGGTGGCCATGACGGGAATAGTAACAAAAGGGAAGTAGGGCGCATATAGGGACCTGTAGATGTTCAAGGCGCGGTCGGCCTCGTAGAATGTCATCCTGAACCCAGGTATGATCTCGACGGCCTCGTTGCCGGGCGGCGAGGGTCTGTTCTGCGCTCTGAAGCCTGGCCCAGCCGTTTCCGGCGGACCCTTTGGGCTGCTGGCGCCTGTGCTTTGCCCGGTGGCGATGGATACAGGCTGGGGCATGCCTGAAGGGGCGAGAGGGCGGGCATTGTAGTGGTAGTTGTGTGCTGAAGGAGGAGATGAGGCGAGTTCCGGGAAATCTGGCCTGTTGCTGGGGGTCGCGCTGCTTGCGGACTCGACGTTTGGGTTGAGGAGTTGCTGGATGCTGTTCCTGCCGGGCTCGTGGCTCGGGACGGGCACACTGGCACTGCTTGGTGGTGTCTGGCCGCTGGAACTAGGACTGTTTTGTTGGATCTGCTGACTGGCGTTCAGGAGGGACATGATACCGTCGATCTTCTCCTCGAGCTGCCCAACACGGCTGTGCGGGAACGACCTGGTCAGCGCGTGCCTCCATCAATCAACTACCTGCATGTCCAGATCTGTGCCGATCGTCGCCCGGGGCAATAAACCATACTCAGCGCTCGGCACGGAGGGCGACACAGACACGATGCAGGCCGGATGAGTTACAAAGTAAACACGTACGTCGATGGGCCGCGCCTCCTTCGCGGGTTGATTTCTGGGAGAGTGCATGGCGCCTTGATCTTGGAACACCTGCAGCAGCAATGTCAGTAGCCTGGCCTCCATCTCGGACGGTCATTGTATGGATGCAGCCCTGGACAGTATAGCAACAAGGAATGCGATTGAGTTCGTCTATGCAGGGCGCGGGACCGCGATCCGGGAGATCGGCATGAGATCGACCGACTCCCGGGCGGACGAGCTTCTCTCACAGCCAGGGGTAGAGATGGCTGGTTTGAGATGAAGCTTCCGCGGAACCTGACATCCGGATGACCCGCGTCGGAACCCGGAACACGCAGACAGTGCCAGCCTTCTCAAGGTGAACGCGGGAGGGGAGCTGGGGCGGTCGGCGGCGAGCACAGTTGCGGCAGCATGGCAGCGTGGCCAACGCATGCAGCATCGGGCGCAAGGCAGTGCGACCAAGGTCGGGCTCAGCTCTGGGTGGATCACCCCGGGGGCGCCCCCAGGTCTCAGGTGACTCGAGGGCCGGGAGTGTTCGGGGGCGTGGAGGAGGGCGAGAAGACCGTGGAGTCAAAGAAGCCACTCACCTCTGGCAGGGCGTGGCACCGGGCTCAGACGGCCACACGCATCGCATCTTTGACCGAGCGCACGACTGGCATGCCCGTGGCCGGTATTTCTGGACCTCGGGCGTCGCGCGAGAAAGGTCGCCCGATGCCGGGGTGGAGTCTGGCATGGTGACGGCGTCGCGGGTTCCCGGAGAAGACCAGACAGTCCAGTATGTGTGTATGTGGGTGGTGCTTGTGCTCGGACTCGGGCTGGGGCTGAGGCCTTGGGCTACTGCTTGAGGGCTGGAGACTGGTTTTCCTTTCTCCCTATTATCAAGTTATGCCGTGTGCGTGGGCAATGGACATCGGGACAGCCGCGCCGTTTGTGTGCGCCCGGGAGGCTCTGTTGCGCCTTTGCTGCGCTGCGCTGTTCTCTAATCCCGAGCTGCGTCTAGCAACGCCGCGTTCGCCTTGTCCGTGGCAACGACCGCTAAGGGTCCAGGCAAGTCTTGTCAGGCGTCAGGCGTCAGGCGTCAGACGTCAGATGCAGAGCGAGCGGCATGTCATCAGGCGGGCGGAGGAAAAGGGTGTGTGCCGGACATGATGAGATGGGCGAGGCAAGGACGGGCTGGCCTCCCGGGAGGTTGCGAGTGTGTGGGAGTCGGGCACTTGATCGAGGAAAACAAGCAGGCCCAGCCAGGGCCAAGCAAAGCAACAAGCAACAAGCAGCGGCAGCAGCAGCAGCAGCACAGCAGCAGCAGCAGCAGCTCAGCAGAGGGAGGGAGAGAGTGGGCAGAGCCGAACCAGGGGAGCACAAGACGAGCCCACTGCAGAACCATGCAAGAACCAGGCAAGAACCAGACCACCCGCTGCCCGCTGCCCGCTGCCCGCTGCCGCTGCCGCTGCCACTGCGCCTCTAGGGCGGATTTCTGGTTCGGCCCGGTCGGGCAGCTGGACCTCGTGGGGCGACAGCTCTGGGCAACACAGCTGGGGATTGGCTCCCGTCTCTTCAGGGGGGCCGGCTCGGGTTCTAATTGAATATCCGAGCCCGAACCCATCCAGACATATTTTTCCTCGGCTAACAAACGAACGACACTCCGAACACCCCATCGCTCCATCCCGCCTGCTGCTGGCTGCTGCTGTCACACGAACTGCTGCACGCTGCGGGCCGTCCGATCTCTGGGCAGTCTGGACCCAAGAAGCTCGCCCTCGTTGTATCTTATGTAGTCTATATCTAATCTACAGTCTCGAGACACACACGTGAGCAGGTCGTACGAGCAGGTGGGACACGACGACAGTTGAATAGCTAATCCATTACACGTATGAGGAGCAAGTGGGAACGCATTTCCTGGCACGGAATTTGCCACGATTCAAAACCCCAGCCCCCTTGAAGCCGTCACGATCCGGACACCTCAAAGTTGTTGCACCGAGGCACGAGGGCACCCAATGTGTGCCTGAAATCGCGAATACGATCAGTCACTGTTTGCATAAAAGCGGCTACCACCGCGTGCCGCATTGCTACTCGTTGACGGGCACATGAAAGCATGTAGGTAGGGATGGCTGGTCTGGGTATCCGGGTCCTTCCTCCCGCGGTCCTCGTCCTGCTCCAATGCCAACCACTGCTCCCGACCACCAACACTTTAGCCTCTGAGCGGGCCGCGAGAACGCCATGCCAAAGATGAGATGCTCGCTTAAGCGCTAGTGAGAAAACGTAATCTGCAAACAAGGTTCCTCCTTAATGACCGAGTCACCCGCAGTCAATTTCTCAGTCCGCCCCTGATATCAAAGCATCGAGGCCAACAACAGCCGCACAGTTTCACCAGCTTCTGACAAAGGTGAATGCGTGGGAAAACTCACACCCCCCCTCGCGGTCCCCAGCACTGCCGACTTTCCGCGTCCGAGCCGTCGCGACCACGGCACGGTCGATACGATACTTGCTCTGCTCGCCTCCCCGGAAGGCACGCGGCTCTGTGGGCCGCGAGTGGTGGGTTGACTTGATACCACAACCATTCACATCAAGTTTGCCGAACTTCTAAATGGGTAGGCTGCTTGATCCGTTCCTGTATGCGAGGTTGGCGAAGGGGGCGAGGTGGCAACACTTTGGTAAGGGTTCCTGGTTGTCGGATCATGGGCTTCAGCGCTACAATCATGACTCTCAGCTTGACCCTAGCTTTGGCATTTGCACCTCCAGTTGAGAGGAGTCAACCTTCACAGGGAGAAGAAGTCAGTACGTCCAGCAGGAGAGGAGTCAACGTTTTCGTCGCTCTGCACCACAGACCCTTGCCTCTTCCTCCAATCACGAGTCTCAACCAACTTGGTGGCCAACTCGAGAGGTGTCTTTGTAAGCCCACTAGACTGCCGAGGGTCGATGTCTTCACAAGGACAAAGAGCCTCGATAGCTGCCCGCAGAAACATGTGGAAGCGATCACTGTCTTGAAACACGGTCTTCGAGGAGAACGCTGCGTACTTCTTTCTTGCGCCGTCCATGCTGTCTTCTCTTCCTTGCCAGCAATGTCTGGAAGGATGTCAGGTCGTTTTGACATAATCTGCATCGCTTCTTTCGCCTCATGGTGGTATTGCAAACAGTCCTCCACACTCGAAGTCTGCATAGTAATCAGCACATCGATCTGCTTTTCCCCCACATAGGCTTAAGCACGCTATATAGAGGAATGAAGAAAGGGTTGACGGTGTCAAGCTCGGCTCATGGCACAATTGAATGTTTCAGCCATGATGAAGGCCGCCATGGAGCGCCTCATCCTGGGCCCTGCCATGTTGTACGGTTATCTCCAATGCATCAGAGGGCCTGCCTTTTATACTCCGGGTCCCGCTAAGCCACAAGCGTTGTGGATTACCAGCTTTTATTCAAGAGGCTCCGGAGTTAGACTCACCTTATGGCGTTGATGTGCATAGGGCGACCTAGCGTCTACAGTTTTTTGTCAGGATGGGCTTCGGTTTTGGTCTTGGCGACTTCCTCGCTGTGATCGACCTCGCCGAGAAAATCCGGAAAGGATTTACAGATACACCCAGAAGGCTTCAGGATATTGTGCACGAGGTGAAGAGTCTCTCCATAATACTCTCAGACGTTTCAGCACATGCGGACACGGTGGCGGAGAAGCTAGATCCTTCAAAGGCCGACGAACGTAGAACTGAACAGGATGGTTCATGCTTCCGATCGTGTGCTCAAAGAACTGCAGTGAAAAACGCCCTTACCAGCCAGTATGTAAATCTTCAGATACATCCGCATTGCGAGACTGCTTGCAAGTGTTCCCAGGATATGAGACCCTGAGTCATGCCCACGGATCTAATGAGAGGCACGGTAGAAAACACATCTGGACCCGCCTGAATTTTGATTCTGGAGAGATTTCTGGGCTGCGAAAGAGACCCACGATCACCATTACAACGCTGGAATGATTTCTCGGAAACTTCACAGAACAAAATAAACAAAAGAGACTTGTCCGGCTCGAAAAGCGTATCGACGGGCAAGAAACTGGACTAGCAAAGAATCCGAAAGGCATACATATTGTCAGAGATGGTTTATCGGTTGTCTCGAGCCTGGAACTAGGAAATGGCTTTCTGGCTCGCCTGATGGCAGACTTGGGCCAGCGACCATGCAAGAGGAACCACATTTCATTGTCCGGGTATACCAGGCGCTGGTAAAACTCACACATCAGCCAATAAGTGCTATGTAGGGAGGATTATGGCCTCCAATTTTGAACAAAAAGCAGCTCTCATAGTTCCGGATTATTCCTCGCGATCATCGCACCGTCCTTGGTGAGGTTGTTGATGATGAGGTTACCCAGAAGAGAAGAACTTTTCCCACACACGGCACCCTCCTCTTTCCTCTCTTTCATGATAAGCTTGCTAATTGTATGGCACGGTGGTAATAGATAAAACACGTGCTGTGCTCCCCGTCCATGACATCGATATCGCCTTCGTGTTATGTGACTATCAACGATCTGACCAGAGACAGATTACGGGCTCACATAGAAGCCTCCCAACACTTATGCCCAGGACCTATTTTGGTAAGCTTCTAAATTTCACTTCCCACCAGGCCATCATCACTACTACCACCGGTACAATAGCGTTAATAATAAGTAGTACTGAATTAGGTACAATCCAAAAGGATTATTATGTAGATTGTATACTGGTTGACGTAGGCTCTTGGCAGATATCAGTATTCTCAAGGACTATAGCTGCTTGAATTGTATTAATGGTAGGGAATACAAAGCGAGGGGAATGAATGCAGGTACTGGTTCATTGAACCCTCCTAGTTGGACTACAGCCAGGTAGATTTTAAATTTCACGAGTTATTCAACCCAGCTTCAGGAAGCATTTTCTCTAATGAAATGTAATTTCCTGCTACCAATACTTTGAGGCTAATGAGTGTGTGATCATGTGCTTGTAGGCTGCCCAACTGATAATGAAACCAAAAAAAGAGAAAGACGCCACTCTAAACCAGGTCATCGCACCGCTGTCAGGTATCAAACCGGCTATCATTCCCCAGGATCATTTATTGATCTCTTCATGCCAAAAAACCAAGAAATACACAGTATTCCATCATAGTTTAGTTAAACTGAAGTGAATGCCCTTCTGCTCCATGGTTCCCTGTAGAGCTTGCATTTTTGAGACAAAGTATCGCTCAGAGCTGTTTAGGATTTGATTGATAACGGCGAAGCCATGATCGTTGATTTGACTGGTCTCGTACTCGAGACCCACCGTATTCAGCTGCGGGAAGTAAGTCGGAGAAAGCGCCTCAATGGCCTCGAGAAACCAAATCGTCCATGGAATTGTCATGTGGCGAGCAATAGGATAGGGCACCGGTATCCGTTGGTCTTGGTAATCTTCTGGCACCGGTGCAACATTTTCGCCGTCTGCGTCCTGCAATGGGAAAACCCTCAAGTCGGCGATGAGAACTAAGCTCTTCAGTGTCCTAGGAAGCACCTCTCCCGGATGGAGTACGTCGCTCGGATGGATTTTGGCGCAGTTCGCATCGAATGGGTCCCTCAATAATCGCATCGGAATCTTTAGCGACTCCAGCATGGGGGCAAAGTGGAATTGGGATTTTATCGAGTCTGAGAACCATCCGCAGTGGAACCATCCTCCCTGCGACGAGATATCAATGCTCAAGTGACGGAGAGCCTCCGCATGGACGCGCCCATCCGGCCATCCTGGTGGAAATTCCCTGGTTGGTCGCTCGTGGCTGCGATGCGACAAGACAAGCGAAGACAGAGCTGGAAACATGGCAGTAATTGCTCCAATATCCTCCCAGGGCATTCTGCGGCCGACTCGCAGATCGATGCTTGTGATTGTGTCGCGTAGGGCCTCTTTTCGTTGACCTAGAACCAATTGCGTGTCAGCTGAATCTTGTCTTGGCGGCACGGTGTGTAGGAGTGTTTGACAGCTGGGCCGAACGACTTGGGACAGACTTGATGCGACAACAACTTACCGAGAAGTTCTGCGTAGATTTCGCGACCTTGGAAGGGTCCAGGTCCAGGTCGCCGGACAACAATATGGCTCAGGGAGGGCAAGTTTAGCAGGTCGTTGAAGATCTGATACTCTCCAGATCGTTGTATCTCTGAAGCCTCGCCCGAAGGAAGCAAAATCCCCAAGGTCACCACGTTGGGCAAGAATCCTTGCGGGTGGTTGGAATCTTTTGCACGACTGATATCCATGTGTAGAGACTCCCCCAATGTCTCGAAAGGCCTTGAGTCTTGGAACTCCGTCGTTCTGTCGAAATTCAGAGACAATGTGACAAGATTAGGCGTTTTCTCAAGGACTGCTACCAACGTCTCGGAGAATTGGCTTAGAGTCATGTTCTCTGGAACATAATTATCGTCCTCATCTTCAACGTCTGATTCAGCGAAATATCGGTACACAGTAAGCGATTTGACGTGCTCGCCGAGTTCAGGGGAGGTGTCCAGGGTTTTACGGAGACGATGCAACTTGTACGGGTCGGAGACGACGATGGTTCGGTAGAGGTGTGGCTTCGCAACAAATTGCATTTGCCTGGAGACCCCGCACAGAGCTCGCAGCGCATCAAGTCCTGCTTGAGCTGAATGCAAAGCATCTGAACCAGCATAGCCTGTTTGGACAGTGTCATGGGCGGGAGGCAGACTCTCAACCATCTCGAGGATCATCTCCATAGGGAGTGACGCCAACCCACGGGACAGAGCCCTCGCATCCTCCTGTGTTCTATCCTGCATGGACAGTGCTTCCATGCTCATGCTTGAGCTTGGGTTCTGGTCGGTGTAATGACCTTCAGCCATGTTGTGCTTGCTGAGAGGCACTTGGATATCTTTGTTGGCTGGTTGCTTGTAGCTGTCAAGATATGTGTGAGTGATGCCTATCGGATCAGTAGACTTAGTATTTACTGGTACGTATGCCAGTGATCCTTCTCAAAGAAGCCGGAAAGTCTCAGGAATACCTGTCACAGCCTAGACTTTCCGTATGAAATTGTCTCTGCGCGCAACGTGTTGTACGTATGATGTGAGTAAATGGACCAAGGTTGGAGATGATGAATTTCAATAGCCGCTGTGAATTAATTTTTTTCGGGAGAAAAGTAGGTAGTAGTGAGATGTGTTGAAAAGTAGAAGCTGGGCTGGCCCATTCCTGCCTTTTTATATTCCAGCGGGTTGGTGTCGGAGCTATATGTCATCGTGAGTGACTCGCCATATTTTATGGCTTGGGACTGTTACCCACCGGCACACATGTAAAGCGATTTATCACCCTGGCTGATTTGAAATTGCTTGACTGAATTGACGATGATCCACAGTAAAACGACAAGTTGTAAACGCGAAGCTGTGTAGTGACGAGTCCAGGTTCTGTGAATTCAGACTGTGACTAAGGCAAATGTGTGAATACTAGAAACGGTAGACAGCCCAGGCGCATCATAAAATCTCAGACTACACCCTCAGAAAACGCAGACAGAAAGACTTCAACCAATCCACCACACCCGGCACTTCTTCGACACAGGTATACCTGGATCAGAAACAACTCTCACACACAATGAAGACCTCCGCCATCATCGTCACCGCTGCAGTCGGCCCAGTCGGCATCATGTGCATCGCCAGCGGCTTTCTGGAGTCCTGCTCGCAGATCGGCTTCACCAACCTCGAGGGCGACCCCGGCCGCTCTATCATGCTCCAGGCCTACTGCAAGGTTCAAGGCGGCAACGATCACTGGACCCAGCTGGACCTCAACACCTGCTTCGGCTGATCTGCCGATTCCTGCAACTTCATCTCTCCTCTTTCGAGCGACTTCACGGACTCCTGCACCAGCTGCTACACCTCGACCGCTGGGGGTGGGGACTTTGATGGCACCTTTTCCTGCCGAGGTCCTTGCAATACAGGCAGTGAGGTCTTCAGGATGTTCAATCTGGGTAGGTGCGTGATCTTCTTTGGTCCATCCTTCCCCGACAGAACAGGCCTTTCGTTATTGACACGGACCTTGGCAGACTCTTACGTCGGCAATCTTCTTGGAGATCTCATCTGCTAAGTTGACAAGGGCAGGGCCCTGGCCCAGTCATGAGAATTTTGATTGGTAGAAATAGAGGATCTGGCGCTGTCACTTTTTGGCAGTAGGCACCTGGGATTGCATGGTGTGGCATGGCATTATGGCATGGCGTTTACAAGTGCCTGATTTCTTCAGATATCCTCTGGGGTTGACACAAGCAACACCGAACTCGGCACCAGACCTCCAGTTGTGGACTTGGACCTATGGAATATAATTAAACAGGAAATTTCCGATCCCGATTCTTTATCCCTCGAAAGGAGCCCCAAAGCCGGTGAAATGCGAGTGTACTTGTTGCCCTAATCTTTTGACTTCTTAGGAAGGACCATTTTGGCTGTTTGGGAGTGTTGAATCCGTCCGCTCCTGCGTCCGCTCCTGAACTTGTGAGTCACAGGGACACGGACGGCCCAAGACCTCGCCATTTCATGATAGACGAGGCCCAGATGGCGCAAGCCGTGGAAGTCATGACGAGGGTACAGCCGCTATCATTATGTACCTAACCCTGAATCGGGATGCCTCAAGCCTGCATTCAAAGAAGAGGAGACGTGACAGGCCATGGTACAGCCGCGCGAAAACAAGAAGAATGGTAGTATCTCTGACTAAAGTTTTTGAGGCAAGCGAAGCCTGGATGGAAATTCAAATCCGCTGTATGGATACAAATATGTCATAATATGTAGCTGAATCCCCAACAACAATCGAACGGCGCTGGCTCGGCATGAACATGATATCGACCATTCCAGACGGTCATGTCGTCGATGAATACGATCGTAAAGCCCCGTCATAACAAGTGAGCATCCAGTCTCCATGAACTCCGGGAGATACCTCACTTCATGAGTGTCTCAGCCCGGCCGTCCAACTTGACATGGGACTCCTGCCCGACATACTGAATCTTCTCCCTGAGCGACTTGTTGCCCCAGTTTTCCTCGTCCCTCCTGTCAGCCGCCTCTTTCTTGGCCCGGCGGATGTCAAGAATAGCGAGCAGTATGTTCAGCATCGAGATGCCACTCCCGGTGATGTAAAGAGCGGTAAGGCTCACCGCGACGGTGAATGCCGCCTCGAAGGGAACCACGCGCGTTACGCACAGCGTGACGGAGCCCAGGTCGGCGAAGCCGCTGATCACGGTCGGCATAGTCAGGCCCAGGAGGATCTGGTTAAGGAATGTGCGGATCGTGCGTCGGTCGAGGAGTTTGAAGGGCGCAGGCAGGACGGAGGCTTGGGCGTCTGGAGAGGGGGCTTTGGTCGAGATGTAGATCTTGTTGAAGACTTGGAATCCCGTAGCGCCGAAGGTGAAGAGTGCGGTGATAAGGCCGATAATCTGATTTCAGGAAAGATATTAGCGTTTGCAACTACAACAGGAGGGAGGACTGGCTGGGCCACTCACGCCGTGTGTCGTCCGCATATTTCCAGAAGAGCCGGTTGCCAAGACGCCGAAGATGAGTATTATCAACGTGGCAGGGCCCATGAACCAGAACCACCCGACGTTGGCCCACCGTGTAGCTTTAGGAAGGATGTGGTCCAGCTTCAGACGCAAGAGGAGGGCGCGGGTGCCCTCGAGGCTGAAGATCAACGGGAGCACGGTCAAGAACACGGTCAAGGCGACCATTACTGTGAGAGAACACAGGTGTCAGCACAAATTTAAAAAATGGTAGCACTAGATTTCGACAAGGGGGAAGGGGCCAGGGGAGTGGAGAAGCTTACTGTGGATGGCCAAGAATGCCGCGAAGCGAATGGCCGTGTTCCCATTGATGGTGATGCCATCCGCAGCAGAGAGGAGATTGCGCTGGAGGTTATCGATGACCTTCTGGCCATCAATGGCAAATTGGTTTCCATCGCTTCTAATCTTGATCAAACCCTTTGGAACCACCTGTTGAATGGTAGTGACATTCACTCCACTTGTGACTCCATTCGTGGAAATGGTTCCACTATTTAGGAGACCAAGAGCGACAAGTACCAGGCCACCCACTCCCTCACAGGTAAGGGCAGAGACAACGCGCTGCGACACAGACGAAATGGTGTCGGCGTTGAAGACAACAGACAGGTTGAAACTGTTGCCATTGCTGACAGTCGTCACGCCAGACTCCTGACGCGGGAGGACCGCGCTCGAAAGCACCTGGTGGACACTCCGCCTGGTCAAAGCAGTCCCATTACTCGGAGCAGCAGCGCCAGCGTCGGTGTTGTTCCCAACAAGCCCCTCGACGAGCGAGGTCACATTCAGCTGCGACAACAGCTGGACGCCGACGAGGGTGCCCTGGCCACCGAGGCCTGTTCCAAGGCCCATGGCGGCGCCGCCCACGGAGTCATTGAACGAGAGCGTGTTGGGCTGGATGGCACCTGCCTGAGGCATGGTGGCGGTGCCGTTGATCAGTGCCTGTAGCCCGCCCATGCTATTGACGGCGTCGCCTGCGCCTTGCACTAGGCCCATTGCCACACCCTGAGCAGCCCGGCCGATGTCGATGTTACCTGCGGCACCAGCCAGTGGAGAGTTGCCAGAGGTCAGCTGGCTCAGGTTCACGTTCTCGGTGACGCTCTTTGTCAACCCGAATGCAAAGTTGCCCGCCACTGAAGGGGCATCGTTGCCGTTTGGATCAGGGGGGTTGACAACGGCCGAGGACAACTTCAGACCCGCCACAGCACCACTACCGAGTCCAGTTCCGAAGCTCATGGCCGTCATCCCGAGGTTGGGGATGATCTGGTTGATATTGATGTTCTGCAGGGCCCCTCCACTCGTCAAACTTGTGGTGTTGAGGTTGCTCGTCAGGCTGTTCGTCAAACCAAAGCCAAAGGCCCCCAGGGCGTCGGAGGCGGTGTTGCCAGCCGGAGGAGCGAGGTTCGCCTGCGTGAGCTTGAGGCCTGATGAGGCGCCGTTGCCGATGCCCTGGGCCAGGGACATGGCGATCTGCGACGTCGGGACGCCGCCCGTGAACTGCGAGATGTCGATGCTGTTGGCCGACAGCTTGGACGTGTCGACGTTGGACGCCAGCGACTTGGTCAGTCCAAAGCCAAATGTGTTCGCAATGTCGGCCGTGCTGTTCCCCTTGGGTGGTTCCATCGCCATGGCCTGTGGTGACAGCTTCAGCCCCGAAGCCACACCGTTTCCTATGCCATTAGCAGCACCAAGTGCCAGCCCGTTAAGGTCGAGACTACCTCCAGCGCTAGATGCGAGACTCGAGATGTTGACAGAGCCAAGTAATGATGCAGTCGCACCCATCGCCGCATTCTGTAACGCCGGGTTGAGGCCCGTCGCGTTCATGCCGTTGTCGGCGGCGACCTTGGCGGCGACCTGCATCGTCATGGGAGCCGGTGCGACGTTGAGACCCTGGGCGGCGCCGGCGCCGAGGCCGATGCCGAGGAACATGCTGGCCCCGCCGGCGTCCTGGAGGAGTGAGTTCCCAAGACCAGACAAGGCTGACGAGATGCCTCCAGTGAGGCCGGAAAGGAGACCACCCCCTGCCGCACCTGACTCGGTTGCCCCAGGGGCTGCGGGTGTTGTGCCGGTGCCACCGCCCAATAGGCCACCTAGTCCTCCGAGGAGATCTTGACGACGTGTTTTCGTACCGGATGGGCTATCTGAAAGACTCTTTCGGTACCTCTCGAGGCTGAGGCTTGCCTGTTGCAATTCAGGAACATCTTCGAATCTCTTTGCCAGCATCCTTGATAGGTCGGCTACCAGTTCGACGGCATCTTCGACATGGCGTCTTAGTATTTGGTCCTGTGCTGCGGCCCTGGCTGTTTCTGGCAAGACGATTCCTGAGAAGAGTTCTGCTACGTCTGCGTCTCGTGCCGATATCTTCGTGTCCACCTGTCCACTCATCCCCAACGCTGTGACGAGGCTCGATAGCAGCAGCATGACTACCGTCGACCTCCGTGATGCTGGTTGGCCTGCCATTAGCTCGGTCGAAATGATGGCGAGACGTTGTAGAGTCTGCCACGCAAAGTCAAAATTATGTATATAATAATATCGCCAGCGACAATTGAATGTATTGAAGAGCCAAGTCTAGCAGCTTAAGCGGCTCCACAAGTTGATCCATCAGGCGGGAGAAGCCGTGATCTAATAAACAAGCCTGGTCGATCCTCCATCAATACCAGAATATTCCCTTGATCGACCCCGGGTGACAGATAGGTGGGTCCTGCCACCCGGTAAAACGCAAGTACATCGTCGCCATCAGTCGTTGGCAGAGTGTCGATGGCAGGAGCCCACAGCATCGAAAGAAATTGCCCAATCCGGAAACGACCCCGTACCGTCAGCGTCCATGGCCCAGACAGGCTGAGTCGCTCAGGAGGCGCAACACTTGTGGTTGGGCGGACCTGATGGGTTTGGGCCAACCCTGAATCGAGTTTGGGGCCGCATGGAAATGATGACTCCAGCGCTGGGGTCCATCCCGACCAGTGAGATCCGCGCTGCATGGAAGCAGTCGAAGATCATCTGGGACTGCGTTCGGGCCAGGGGTCTATCTGCAGCCGGGGGTGGGACGTCCGGCCGTATTCGTTCATCTTGTCTGAGCTTCGGAGGGAGAGCATAACCAACCCAGGTATGGGCCTGTGGGCGCAGCCAACCCCGTGCAGGCCCAACGAACAAAACCCCGGGGGGGGGGGCAATCCGGTCCCAGGTTTCGATCTGCGAGATTTGTCGCCTCTTGGGACTCGGCTGGCTGGCGAATGGGGTGGCTTGACGGAGGCTGAGTGTCGTCGTCTGAAACGCTAGAGTTAGACTCCGGGCTGTCAAAGATCGGGCGGCTGCAAATCGCGCTAGGTCCCACGTCCAGGGGCAACCTGAGTCAGCGTACGCCCACCCAGCTTCTACAATACGCCCACTTAGCTTTTAGCGTTGGCCTACCTAGTATAAGGAAATTGGCTATATGCATTAATAAAATATAGGTATACCTTAAGAGCTAGCTTTTTAAAATTATAGTTACCTTGCTGCTTTATTGCATTTACCTTATTATTTTTTATGCAATATATTTAATTTATATTTATTATATTAATATAAGGCATAAAAAAAAAATTTTATAACTTTAAATTAACTTATTTATTTTATTATTACTTACTTTATATAATATTTAACTTACCTTATAACTTTATTATAAAATTACTTTTCACTTACTTACTTATATATTTAATTAATTTATTTATAAAATAATGCTTATTTCTTCTTATCTTCTTAAATTAATTATTTTATAGCCCTTACCTTTAAATATTATTTTATTATTAATATCCTTAAACTTAACCTTAATATAATTATAAATAATTAAAATAATAACTTAAAAATAATAATTTAAATATTTAAAATATTTATAATATATTATTTTTATCCTTTAAGGTAATTATAAATATCTTTTAAATATAGTTTATAAAATTATACTTAAATTTAAGTAACTTTGCTATTTACTTATTAAAATATAATTTAATAATTATAATCCTTATATTAATACTTATAAAGTAAAGCATAATTCTTATCTTTAAAATGCACTTAATATTTAAATTAAGCTATATAGATATATAGTTATAATTGCGTAAATTAGAAAAGACTTACCTTATTATTAAATTATTATTAAATATATATTTAACGGTAAAGTAAAGTATTATAATAAAAGAGTAAATAAGACTATAAATGAGTTTATTAATAACTTTAAATAATAAATTAAAGAAGCAATAGTAATTAGGCAAAAAAAGCTAAAAAAGCCATTAATTTTATATAAAATAAACTATTTATTTAGCTTTATAATTAAGAAGGATATAAGCACTTTAAGTAAATATACTTAATTATATATTTTATATATATTTATTAAAATATATAAATCTCTTTTATATTATAAAAACCTTTTCCTTATATAATTATTTAGCATTTAAAACCCTTGGAAAACATTTCTTTATTAGAATTACCCTCCTACTTTATTATTAGGAATAATATAATATTTAGCTATGGTAATATTTATTAAGTACCTTTATTATTTACTCTTTTTATATAATCTTATATAAGTAAATAACCTTTAAGGATATTAATAACCAGCGTAAATTACTTAATAACCAAGATATTAAGGGCTAGCTATTAATTAAACGCCTTATTAATAATTTAATTAAAAATAGTTATTTAATTAACTTATTAATTAATGCAGAATATTAAGTTAAGCATATTATATTTTATTTTATAAAGACAGTATAATTTAAAAGCCTTAATAACCCTCCCTTTCTTATCATAAATGCTACCTATAGTACTAATTAATATGGATTACTACTTATTTATATAATTAAGATAATACCTTAATAATGCCTATATACTTACTTATTAGCCTTAATAAGCGGCTAAATAATTAAGGATTTTACTTAAGTGCTTAAGATATTAAAAAGCCATAAGATTAATTACAACCTTTAAATAGTAAATACTAAGATTGCTAAAAGCAATGCTATTTAAGTAATATTTTTATAAGCATAAATTATTATATGCTAATGGCACTTTTTTTAAGCATTTAAATGCAATATTCATACTACTTAATATATCTTAAATAATATAATATTTAAGGAAATAAAGGCAGAGTTCCTTATTATAATTAACGCTATTTATATTAACGATTTTAAAAGATTTTAAAGCTTATTTTAATAAAAGTAAGTAAAGGTTAATAAGGGTATAAAAGCTATTTACTATATTAATAAAACTTAGCTTAGTTATTATTAACAAAGCATTTATTAAGCATACTTTTTATATATAATGCATTTTAATATCCTTTCTATATTTACTATAAAGAGTTTACACCATTATTTAAAGATATAGCTTAGCTACTAAAAGCGCATATATATAATTATAATAAATACCTTCTTTTATTTAATAATAGCTTTATTTTAAAAGTTTTAGGATATTTTGGCTAAGGAATTAAAAACAGCATTAAGTATATTATTTCATCTCTTTATATTCTTAGCTAATTTATTATCTATAGTATTTTAAATTATAAGTAACCTTTTCATTAATTATTATAATAAGTTAAAGAGTTTAAGTTAACTTAATATACTATGCATAGGATTATTTTAATATATTATAAAATGCTTATATATTTATAAAATTAATATTATAATGCAAAAGGGTAGGGCGTTTTACTTAATTAACTTTTATTTATATTAGTATTAATTAAAACCCTTTATGCAATAATTAGCATAAAAATTTATTTATTAGCCATAACGTTATATCATAAAGCCATCATTATATCTTTAAGGGCTTCCATTATTAAAAAATAATTTAATATTATAGGTTAATATTAAAGACCTTAATAAGCTTATTAATCTTAAGCTTAAGCTTATATAAGAACTACACTTTACCCTCCCTTTATTAAGTAATTTATTGCAAGATATAAATATTTTTAATTATTTCCTTATTAATAATATTGCCCTTGGAATTAAGCTAAACAATCCATTTCCAATCCCGCTCTTAATCCCATCCAACCTTATTAACGCCGCGTATACCCCCTTAAATAAAGCTAAGCTTAATACCTTTAAGCTTAATCCTAACTAATATATCCATATAAGCGTGGAGATAAACGCTAAGCCCTTTAATAAAACAAAGCCTTTTTTATTACTAAAGAAGAGGAGGATTAAGTAGGCTAAGAATGGTTTTAAGAGAGCAAAGGTAAATTATTATATTTATAAGTTAAATATATTAGCTGCCTTAACTAGGCGGCTATTAAGTTGGAATAAGGCGATAAAAAAAAAAGGATAGCTTTTAAAAGGAAATATAAGTAATGCCGTTAGCCTAAGCATAAATATATAAATCCTATTTATTTAAGCATGCCGTTAATTAAGGTAATATAAGTATTATTAAATTTTATGCTTAATTTTAATAAATAAAACTTAAAGCATAGCTTTGCATTAAAGTTTGCTTAAAATATTAGCTTTTTAAAAGAAATGGCATAAGGTGTATTAAATATAATAAAAATAGGTAACTTATTAAAATGCATATCCTTATATTACTTAATAATATTGCTATTATATTTAAGCGATATACTAAAGCTTATTTATTAATTTTATTTATTGTTTTCTTTAAGCATTTTAAAGCACCCTTTATTATTTATCCTTAATCTCTTAACGCTTTAGTTTTAAACCTTGCCTTTTAACCTTATAATACTAAGTAATTATTTAGCTTAAGCCTTTCTAAACTAAGCAATATATAAAAAGCGCATTAAAGTAGCTATTATTAATTATAAATTAAATTAGGCTTAGTGATATGCTAAATAGGGTATATTTAAAAAACTTAATAATATATAATATAAAAAGAGGCGTGGGCTTTGTTATTAGTTTATAACTCGCGCTAACATAATTTGCGTTAGCTAGCTTATAATAAACTAAGCCTTATTAAATAATTTATTAATATATAAAAGAAGCTTAATTATAAAAGATATTATAAATTATAAGCTAATTAGCTAAATTAATAGCAAGAAATATATATAGCTGGATTATATAAAGAATAGTAGTAATATAGATAATAATAAGTATTATAAGGGCTTAAAAAAGTTTAGTTTTATACCTTTAGCTAATAGGATTATAGCTAAAAAGCAAAGATAGGGTAAGTTTATTATTAATAATAATATACTATTTTGCATAGTTTAGGTATAAAAAATATATAATTATATTTTATTTATTATAAATCTTAATAACTAAATCTTTAAAAAGATTTAAGAAAAGTTTAAGGTAAAAAGAAATTAATTATTTTATAAAACCCTTTACTTTAATTAAGATTAATAAAGATATTATATTAAAAAGGGTGTATTTCTTAATATATTAAGAGAATTAAGCAAGGAATTTATGCAGGACTATATTATTATTAAGGGTAATTCTTAAGCAGGAAATATAGCATTATGGCGTTTA